AAGACATGTTTCTGTCTTAAATTTGTACTCCATTAGCTTCGCCCTTGTAACCAAAGATTGCGCTTTATATGATAGCCTCAGAATATATCGCTTTATATTTTTTAATGCAAATAAGTCAAATAAACATTTTTAGCAGGATTTTATATAATAATTTGGCATGAATGAAATTTAATGATGCCAGTACTTAGATATTTATACCCTGCTTGAGAGTTTCTAAAACAAGGTTTGGCATGCTATTTACAGCAAAATTGACCTATAAATGCTTTCAAATACCTAAAAATTGTACAATTTTTCTTCTTTAATGGTTATTTTATGATTTTAAACATAAAAAAGGGAAAAGTTTTAGAAATTTACCCCAAAAATGTGACAGGCTTGAGGTTTTACACTTTGATCAGGCATTTTTTTTTAAATGACTTTTTGTCCCGTTTAACATCAAATGCTAACCTTCATAAAATCTTTATTACTGAACCAATTTTAAAAACTATGGTACCATTTTAATCGTTACAGCTAGTAGAACACAGGAAATGAATTTGAATTTGAGGCAGGGAAAAAAAATTTGATATTAAGGTAGCACTCCACAGTTAGGTGTGTAGTTTCGCATTTTGGCCCCTGTGGATTTTTCAAATATGATAGCTAGTGTAGAATAAAATTCATTTTTGGATAGCTGAAGATTAAAATAGCCTTCATAGTGGGTTTATAGGAACATCAAGATTATGTAATGTATGTAATATGGGCTGTTTTCTGTATGACAGTCCGTATTTTCATATCCATACCAAATATTGGTCCGGCAATTATTGTAATGTTTTTTTCCGGCTTTTTGTCGCACAAACTTTGCAATTAAATTTTATGAAAAAATGAGGCGAAAGACACCCATTTTTTATTTGATCATTTGGTAGATTTATATCAACAGTTTCTGAAAAGGTATCACTGAAAGGCATTGAAATTCTAGTTTGAACCAAATTTTGGGGGAATATGTGACATTTTTGCCCCCCTTTTTGCAATATTTTATGGTAAATAAATGCAGAATGTTGCCATGGATACACAAAAAAGGAATTATTTTTCACCATTTTAACTTTTAAAAATCAAATCTATGGAAGATACTGATAACATACATATGCACATGTATAACACAAACAGTTAGGTTAATGTATTAGAAAGCCAGGAATAGAAGATGATAAAACATTTTGTGGTTCAATTTTAATGTTTTTTTCTAACTGTGGAGTGCTACCTTAGTAATCAAATTTTGACACCTATAGCATACTTGACCAGGTGAAAGGTAAGATGGCACCTGAACTGTGATTTAGTCACGTGTTATGTTATTTACCTTTTAAAACCATACATTTTAAAGAGAAAAATATCTTATGTTGAAATAATTAATATAGCAATACTACACTTCTAAAGTATGCAATTCCATCCATCCAGACCCTTATAAATCTAACTTCAAATTTAAGGAATTTTCACAAAGTAAATTCAAATTCACATATTTCCATCCTCTCTCCCAAATATCATTTAGCAATCAATTTGTTTATTGCTACTAGCAAACTGCTTGAGTTCAGGAATATATTCACAAATCATAATGTTCTTTTTGAAAACATTTCTTCAAAAAGGGGTCATTTAAAAAAATGTTTAATTTTCAATCGGATTGAGCATGAAAATGAATACATGTAACATAGTTCAGTCTTCGAGAACATGAGTTATGTATTAGATGTACTTGGGTTTGTCTATTGTTTTTATTGTTTTTACGTTAGTGGTTTCTGTACTTCATACCGATCTTTTGAGTTAGACCGTTTTTTATAGTTCTTATGTACTGCTGTAAGACCACTGTCACACGTTAGGGGAAGGGGTGGTGTAGGCATTCACAAACATTTACCCCGGCCACATTCTGTATGTGCCTGTCTTGAATCAGGAGCATGTAGATCACTGGTTGTCGTTGGTTCATGTCTGTCATTTTTTCTTCAAAAATTATTTTGTTATAAGTTCGTTCGTTTTCTCGTTTAAATTGTTTCACATTTTTAATGTTGAGACCTTTTATAGCCGAATATATGGTATGGGGTTTTCTCATTGCGGAGGCTATACAGTTATAGCAAATAATTGGTTCAAACGACACTTTCTTCATTTATAATTAAGTGTCCATTTTAAAAAGAAATGTTTTTCATCATCTGATTCTTTACCAACTAGATAGTTGTCAATAATTATATTCGATTTTCAATATAATTATGAATGTAAAAGACTTATGATTCACATTCTCATATCATTTCCTTGTTTGCTCTTTATGCTTTTTATGAAAATAATATGTATGTGTGTTTGTGTGTGTGGTGGTGGTCGGTAAATTAATGAGAGTGACAAGCTCAAAGTTTTTTTGATAGTCCAATATAGTTTAAAAGTAATTAAATTTCTAATAAACTAGTATGGATTTTTAATTTTATAAAATGTCAACAATAGGGGTATGTGGCAAAAGAGAGTTTTGACACGCCACTGTTGAAAGTGGAAGGGGGTCCAAAAGGGGGGGGAATTGCCGTGCATCCAAACTTTTAAACCAGTATTGCATATCTTTTCTATTATTTTATCAAGCTTTATGCCTTAAAAATTTCTTATGAAGTTATAGACTTGCAAGCATACAGGAATATTACTTTTCCATCTCAGAAAGAAGTCAATTTAAAAAATGCATCTGTAATAAACCTTCTTATATCTGCATATTCTTAAAAGCAATAAAAATAAGATCTATATACAGGTTGTCTATTAGTTATCAACACTGGTTAGGGTATTTAATTGGTGGTGCATTGGGTATTGTATGGTCATACTTCAGATATTCATTAAACATCACGTAGTTGTACCTGTATTACTGTAACAATAATATATTCCAATCTCACCTGTGCCCTCGGCAAAACCAACATCCAGGATGTACACAAAGAGCTTAAGAAGTAATATTGCGTAATAACTATGTCTTATCAATCCCCCATGTGGCGAGCAACCTGAAGCTTACAACTTCAAACGAAACCTGAAATTGCGAAACTCAATCAATATGTCTTATCAATCCCCCATGTGGCGTGCAACCTGAAGCTTTCAACTTCAAACGAAACCTGAAATTGCGAAACTCAATCACCTCAACCGCACACCTGTGACTTATGATGAACTCGTGGCATGGCACCCGTGACCCCAACTCTGAATTCCTTCTGAAAGTGGGCGGAAAGAAGTGTAGTTTGGGGTTGTTAAAAAAAAGGATTTGTATAGTCCTACTGTACAAATCCTTGTCTTTAGACCTTCTGAGTCTGTGTGTCAATCGAAAATCAGAAAATATCATGTCATTATTCTTTTTAATTATATTGTTGAATCCATCGGCATCACTCATAATCATTGTTTATCACTGTCATGTGTTTTGTTGGATAATAATCAAAACCGAATTTGCGCTGTACCCATATGTCAATATGAATGAAAGTAACCAGTGACGTAGTAGCCTCGTTCGGAGCGACTTCCGGGATGGAAATATGCATATTTGACAGGTCGATAAATGGTTGCATTAAAATACATATTTTACCAAATATTTGACACTTATATGCTATCGATGTATTTTTGGGAAAATTTACGTATAAATAAACATTTTGAAACAAAAATTGAAAATCGTGTCATGTCTCCTTTAAAGTTTATTTCTCAAGTCCATTTGAAGAAAGCATGATATGACCCCTACCCTTTGACATGAAAAAAAAAAATCATTCAAAATCAGGATTTCAAATTATATTGTACAGTACATATATATTATTTCCAAATGGGACAATCAGCCACTACGGTTATATTATAAACCATGCACATGGGGCTTTGTCAATGTGGACTTGCAATTTTTGGGAAAAATTGGAACTATTGTTCAAATTCTATTCTAAGGCACTGGCCTGCAAAACAGGAAGCATACAGATTAGCTACTAAATCTATATACACATAAATATATAGGATACAACATGTCACAATAAATGCACTTATGATGCCATAAAAAGACCATGTGTACATGTTTTAATGAAAAATATATTGATTTTGATCAACTTTCAGGTCAAGTACGATAAACGGTAATGTAGTTCCATCAGAAGAACAGAGGAGTAATTCGGTTTAACTTAAGAAGTCAATTGGTTTATATGTACATAAGTTGACAGACTAACTTTTAAATGGCTTTTGAACCCACAAATATAGGGGCATGCTGTTAAAAACTCAAATATTGAGTAATTTGCCTCAATGTTTTTTTCTATGAACCCCTCCTTCAATCTTTTGTCTTAATAAAAGGTAATTTCTCTTGTGGTTTTGGTCACTCTTATTAATTACTCTTCACTAATTAATGTATTACCTAGCTCAAATGTTCTATTCCTCCAATACATTGAATATTACTTGATATTTGCAGTTTTTGCATATTATTATTACTTTTCAACTTAACAAATTATTTGTTTGTATTAAACACCTCATTCATTGACCTTGGCTAAAAGTTATCAGGGTGACCCGTTTTTTATTGGTAGAGACGGCCTGGAAGCCTGAATCCCTAGAGACAAGCACCCACCTTCGGCAGTCAGTAAATCCTTGTCAATTAAAATGTAAATGAGGCAAAACTACGCATGAAATTACAACAGTATGAGGTTGTACCAAAACAGCCAAGGCCAAACTGGTATATGGCTGAAAAGGTATAAAACCTAAGTGTTTCAAAAGCCATGACACTCCCCTTTTCATCCAATTAATGAATGAACTAATGATAGCTATTTTTAAAACAATAAAATCCATGAAAGCATGCACGAGTATTTCCACAAGGTACATGTATAATGCAAAATTACCAGCTAACATAGGACAGAATAAAAATGTCAAGTATCTAAACAGATAAATGGTTCATTGATCTGTTGATCAGTGATGACAAGTTGATGGCACAAATGGGGTCAGACTGAACTCTGTAGGGGTTTACCGAAGGATCACTTAGATTATTATATGATTTGATATCGGCAAATAATTTAAAACAAATACATTTGATTTCTTACAATGATTAAGTCGATGCAATGTTTATAATGTTGACATGAATACCAAGTAAGGGAGACAATAATGCCGGATTTCCAAACCAACCTCCGGGAAGATAACTCTTATGTAAAAACGTCCTTAACCTCTTGGAAGGTGTGTTGCTTTTGCCTATTTTCGTTGGATGAAAAATAGGTCGATGTTTCGATTGGTTAGTTTTGTCCCACCTCGCAGTAAAATATCAACAAATAGTCTGGAACTGTTGTATAGGAAAACAGCATAAATTCAGGTAGAAAGACACATTAATGATAATATTTTTACATACGTTTATGGTATTTGTTTTCATTTAGAAAATGCAAGAAAAAGAATCTTACCTATCACCTTGACTCAGGTTTTATTCAAAACATGTCTTACAAAATTGTCACCTTGAACTGGTTAACGGATATTTATGTACTTTTTTTGGCTTATCTGATTATGTTCTGAGAAGTATTTTGTTTGCTTTTATAATCTTCCCATTTAGACGTTTTAACTCCAGGAAACCATTTTCAGGTAAAAAAAGTTTTGACTCAAAAAAATCTTTTTGATTATTAAAGCAAATATGATAAATTTTGCACCTGTTAATCAGCTGTTTTTTTTATAGCTCAGATTAAGTTTCTGAATAGTAGCTGTTCAGACTTTAGATTTACTGAGGTAGTAAGGAGTTTCAAAGAAATACCACAAATGCATGCATTAAAAAAAAAAATTAGTAGAAATTGCATATTTTTACTTAATAGATGTGCTATATGTATTTTTCCCATGCATGCAGGTATATTGTAAAATAGATATATAAAGAACAAAAACATGTTCAATAACTCTGTAATTTAATATTTATTATAGGAAAATGAAATATGCCTCTTATATTTCCTTTATCGTGTACATATTTTAGTTTAAGTTGTATGTGTGTAATTAGTGAAGTAATGGAAGGATTGCAGATGATACTTTCGAAAGTCGTAGTATGCGAGACATAGGTTTTACTATCCAGCGGCGGCGGTGGTTTTAACTATTTGTATAAAGCTTTACATTTCCGAAGGTAGAAGACCTGGCTGCTTCATACCTTGTATGTAATTACCTTACATGTATGTTACGAAGTTTCCGTCTGTCATATGCCCATTGTCCTTGACCTCATTTTCATGGAAAAAAATTTACAGTTTTTTTGTCATGTGAATTTCTCACTTATGAGTAATAGGATAACTATATTTGGTATATGGGTTCCTTGCAATGTCTACATGTCCTTCAGACAGGGTTAACCTGACCTCGACCTCAATTCATGGATCAGTGATCAAGGTTAAAGTTATGTGATTAGGTCCGTTTCTCAGATACTACAAGCAGCAGGTCAACTATATGTGGTGTATGGAATGATTGTAAGGGGTACATGTCAGACTGGCAGGTTTCATCTGACCTTGACCTCATTTTCATGGTTCATTGGTCAATGTTAAGTTTTGTGTTTTGGTCTGTTTTTCAAGTACTATAAGCAATTATAGGTCAACTAGATTTGGTTTATGGAATGATTGTAAGGTGTACATGTCTATCTAGCCGGTGTCATCTGACCTTGACCTCATTTTCATGGTTCATTGGTCATTGTTAATTTTTTAGTGTTTTGGTCTGTTTGTCAAGTACTGTAAGCAATCGGTCAACTATATTTGGTGTATGGAAAGATTGTAAAGGGTACATGGCAGACTTGCAGATTTCATTTGACCTTGACCTCATTTTCATGGGTCATTGTTTATTTTTTGTGTTTTGGTCTGTTTTTCAAATACTAATAGCAATAGGTCAACTATAATTGGTGTATGGAATGATTGTAAGGTGTACATGTCTGTCAAGCCAGTATCATCTGACCTTGACCTCATTTCCATGGTTCGTTGGTTAACATTAAGTTTTTGTGTTTTGGTCTGTTTTTCGATTACCATAAGCAATTGGTCAACTATATCTGGTGTATGGAATAATTGTAAGGTGTACATGTCTGTGTGACAATTTTTTTTCTGACCTTGACCTCATTGTCATGGATCTTTAAGAATGTTAAGTTAATGTGATACTTGTAGTAAAACTTTTATTTTTAAGACTTTCAACATAAAATCAATGGTCAGTAAAACAGGCGAGACATTTCAGGGTGTTCACTCTTGTTTTCCTTTACATAAAGAGTGAACAATATTCTTGTTGATTTCACTTACAATTTAAAAATCCTATTTAGTGAATATGTGACTCATTATTCTTATATGACCTCAAAAAAAATTAGGAATTAGGGGCCAATAAGGGGCCCAAATAAGCATTTTTCTAGTTTCCAGACAATAACTTGTGGAACGGTGTATGGATCTCACTGAAATTATATCCTAAGTTTCCATACCACAAAGGGATGGTTAACTTAATTAGATTGGCTTTGGGGTGTTTTTTGAAATTTTTTCTCCTCAAAGGGGGGGGGGGGGGGGGGGGGTCAATTCGCAACAGCATAGTGTATTGCACAAAAGCAAGAAATCTTCAATTGTAATGAATATAAATTCAAATCATATAACCAATTCTGAGTTCTTTGACTACAGTTATTCTGTGTCAGAAACCTATTATGTGTCAAATATTGAATTACAATCCAAATTCAGACCTGTATCAAGGGTGAATATTGTATCCATTTTTGCGCCAACTGTTCAGGGTTGGACCTCTGCGATCGTATCCAGCTGCGCTCGGCGAAGCAATTTACTTATTGACAATGACATAGACAAATATGTATAATAGTTAAAAAATAATTGTATTGTCCCCCACACAACATGTTGATGGGGGAAATAGAAATACCAGGTGTCTGTCCATTAAAGCAGTTTTGCCATATTTTTGTGAAATTTTAATCACAGGTTTTGTATCAGCAATGTCTAGGAAAAGTTAGAAAATCAGTGTCAAACAACAATTTTAAAAGGAGTTATGCCCCTTGGAAATATAAATTATATGGAAAATTGCATTGTATTAGCACTCTTAAGTCTACACTTCTTGTAGGATTCTTATGAAATTTATATTGAAGGTTTAAATTAGCAATGTATCGGACATTTTTGAAATCAATGCCAATCATCTATTTTTAAAAGAGTCACAGTTATTGGGAATGCCATTTGAAAATATTAATTATATAGGAATTTGCATTTTTCAAAAAGCACTCTAACACCTACATTTCTTGTAGGATTGTTATGAAATTCATATCAAAGGTTAATAATATCAGCAATGTCTGGTATAACTGTAAAAATCAGCACTGATCTATTATTTTTACAGGCGTAATATCAGTTTTTTTTATTTAATTTATCATATTATTGTTATAAAAGTAGAAAGTTACATTTCATTTCATCTAGGCATAAAACATTAAAGTCATATGAAACAAGTTTCTTGTATTCATAATGTTATCAATTTATTGAACCAATGCATGCTGATACATGTATACTAAACTAAACTAAATCCTGTATGCATGGTTACAAACGTATTATAGACATAGTATTTCATTCAGTGCTTGTTGATTGCAAGCTAATTAACTTTCAAGTTTGTTGCCAAAGTTTACCATATTGCGACATTGCGACATTGATAAACGATCAGCACAGAGCATGTGGAGCATGTGAAAATAAGTGAATTGTAGTTAATGTCACTGCTGCGCATACAGGAAAATTTCGGTGAATAAGTATACGGGAAGACAAGAATTCAATTGCAGAACATTTATGAAGATTTTGGTTATATAATTTTAGGATTTTCTTTTGCAAGAAAGTTCATGTACACTTGTTTTATAGTAAAACCATTCAAGTACAAAATGTATATAAAAAATATTTGAAATTTTTTTTTAAATTTGAAGTTTCATATGACTTTAAGCATGTTTAGTCTTTGGATTCCAAGATTTGAACCGTAGGAATGTCTATTTACTTTCACTCCAAGTGCTTTTGATTTTTGAATTTCCTGTGTTTACCCAAGGAGTTATGGTACTTACTATATAATCCTTGGTTTACCTTTACAATTTTGATCACATAAATAATGCCAAACATCGCAGGGGCCAGATCATTGAAAGAACAAAAATGGGGTCCTTGGCAAAACTTTTCATGTTGAAAAAAGACCTGTTTCTGTCTTGAGTTCATAACTTAAAAGAATGTTGACCTTTGATATGTGACATTGACTTTTTTGTGTTGTTTGGTTGCTGTCTCATTGATTTACAGATATACCACACATTTCCTTTAATTCAAATGAAGGTTGCTTATGTACATGTATAAAATTATAGCAAAAAATACTGAACTAGAAGGTAAATTCAAAAAGGTGAAGTAAAATTTCATTACTTTGTCTAAAAACTGATCACACACTAAATAGAATAGTCTTTATTTACAATGTATATAACCATTTTTATTAGAAGAAAGGAAAGTGTGAGCTAGAATGTGGAGGACACAATCTCAGCCATTGTGCAAACAGATTCTGAAACAAAATGGCTGTTTGTTTACACGGAGATGGATGTCTTCAGGATTACCTGGTGTTCTCGCTATCAGGAGAGAAACAATTAATGTATGGGAAAGGAGAGCACCATTGGCACCTAAACATGTTAGAAAGCTGGTAAAAGATGGTATTAAAGTAATAGTTCAACCATCAAACAGGCGGGCTTATAATATGCAGGTATATGTATAATATTGATGTACCTATAAAACTAATTCCGTTTTATAACTTCAAGCATACATTTTTACATTTCTTTTTTTTTTAAGTAAATTTTGTACCTTCCTAAAATATTTTATGCTAGAGTTAAATGATAAAAACTGAATTGTTATTTTTTTAAATTATATTTTGAAATAAAATTAAAATTTGTTATGTTTTTTTTCTAAAATGATACGTATACAGTTTAAATTATTATAGAAATAATTGAAATTTTTCTAGAAGATTGCTGTTCACCTTTTTATTTTGAGAAAAAATATGTATAAATACAAAGTTCAGATAAATTTTTAATCATTTATTTGTTTTCTGACTAAACGATTCAATGGACCCAAAAATTTTCAGACCCTGTTATGCATTGTTAAGGGCGTCATACGCAAAATAGCGATAAACAGATTATCAATGGTCTTTCAAACTCAAGGATGTTTCTTAGCCTCCAATGAGATTGTAGCAGAGAAACACCCTCTCCAGACACTATCCATAATCTATAAATATCAGATGATGCTGATGGATTGCTGCTTAATGTCCAGCGTCCAATTAAATGCATATTCAGGACAAGAACATGTAAACTGGTAATGTAATATGAATATTAACCCTGCTTTGTACTAGACCGACATGCTGAGCCAGATAATGAACTTGCTAGTTCACAAGGTAACTCCACAGGAAGACATGTAACCCTACCTGGACAAATTATTCTGACTCTGAGCTGACCAGTCTTTGCTCTTACTCCTTAAGATCCTTTATCAGTGCAAAGCATTGAATAAAAAAAACAGTGTGAATCAGAATGTTATGTAATTTAAGCTTAAAGATTCAGTTGGTTAATGAATTAAATGTTATGTATATTTATTGCTTTGTAGGAGTATGCTAAGGTTGGAGCTACAATTCAGGAAGATATGTCTGAGGCATCACTTGTAATGGGCGTCAAGTCTGTTCCTATAGATCTTCTCTTACCTGACAAAACATATGCTTTTTTCTCTCATACAATCAAAGCTCAGGAGGCTAATATGCCCTTGTTAGATGCTATCATGGAAAGGGTAATATTAAATACTGAGATTATATGTTGTTGTCTCGCCTGCTAAGGAAATCACGGAAGGCAAGTTAAAGGTGTTGCTTTTCTGGTGGCAGCGTCATCATCGTTTGTGTTGTCAATAATTGTTAAGTTTTCTGCTTAATTTTCTATAAAGTTGCATTACTATCAGTACATCTCAGATTGAAGATCATTTTTCTTATTTCTAATATCAATTTTAAAACAAAAGTTATTTTTCATCAAGTAAGATTTTTTAATTAAATGACTGAACTGCTCATATTTATAAATCTAATGGAGATGTAAATCCTGTTGGCTCCTCTAAAAAGCGTAAAGTTTAGATGAAAAAATTAAGGCTTTGCTTTAAATGGAATAATATATAAGTTGGAACAAATCATTTATATCAGTATCTAGTAAGGCATGCATATTAGTGATGCAAAAATGGTATTTCACTATGTATACATGGTATAGAATGTATGGTACCACACAGAAAGAACTTTACCAGCGAATAAACTATCTAAATTCTACTTTTATATCATACTTTGAGATGAAAAAAACAAAACAATTGATATGAGCATTAAGTAGAACTCATTGAATTTGGAAAAAGTAGATGATGATGATTAAACCTAACCAATAAAAATTGAAACCCCTCCCCCTGTTTATTCATTCAAGATACTATTGGAACATAATATAATGATATGAGTAGTTAAAATGCTATTATAAATTGAAATTCTGACATCTGATTGGGGTTTAATTTACCATGGGGGGGGGGGGGGGCTGTCAAAATACAATGGCTAGGAGAAAGTGTTGAAAAGTCTTTCAAGGGGGATCAATATACCACGGCTCCAATAAAGGAGGGGCCTGATGGGGGGGGGGGGGTCTCATCACGATTCACGAGTTGATTTTTTTGTCAATCACGATTCACAGAAAATAAATTTCCATGATCACGGATCACGAAAATATAAAAAAAAAAAATAAATCTGTAGAAAAACAGATCACGATAGCGAAAATGCGCCGATCACAACGCACGAAAATAACCCATCAGGCCCCTCATAAAGTGCTATACAAATTTTCAAACATATGTTTTTCATTCAGGATACTTATTGCAGCATTATAACTTAAGTTAAAGTGATGTAAATGCTATTATAAGTTAGAGTTTTGACCTATTATGGGAGGGGTTTAAATTTTCCATGGTAGAAGAGGTCAAAAGTACCGGTACCTAAAATTTATTTGTGTACCTGTTATTTGTACAATAGGTAATTGCAGGACAAATGAGAAGAGAAGAGCTATGGTTTTGAAGCTAACTAGCCATATAGTAAGTTTTCTATTACAGAACATAAGATTGATAGATTATGAGCGCATGGTGGACGAGAAAGGACAGAGAACTGTTGCCTTTGGAGTGTATGCAGGAGTAGCTGGAATGATAAACATACTTCATGGTTTGGGATTGAGACTTTTGGCTTTAGGGCATCATACACCTTTTATGGTAAACCAAATTTCACAATAGAAAGACATTTTTATACTATATTATTATATAAAGCTGAATTCAAACTCTTATAAAAACAGTAACTTCGTTATTTGTATAAAATGATGAAAATAAGTCTTGCTAATTTCCTACCTAAATGAATATTAATTTGTTAGCAAATATTTTGATTGACAAATGTAGAACTCACTTCTACAATGGATTGATTTATTGCAGAATAATAAAAATACTAGAAGCAAGTAACTTTGAATATTTCATGTGTCAATACAATGATATATTTTTAGTATATTGGACCCAGCCATAATTACAGAAACACAGAACAAGCAAGACAGGCAATTCGTGATGCTGGATATGAGATTGCCTTGGAAAGAATGCCAAAATCTCTTGGACCTTTAGTTTTTGTCTTCACAGGATCTGGTAATGTTTCTCAGGTATGAAGAATGAAATTTGAAAGCAATCTGATGTAGATAAAACTTACGGTAAGTAGGACATCCTGCTGGTTTAATGAAATGTAATTGATACTAGACTTGAATTTAAGATATAATATGCCTCTTTTTCATACTTTTGTGTGGAGAAACATTCCTAGTAATAGAAGTATGACTGTCAAATGTTATTATGATAGACAGCAAAAAGGCTTTAAGACATATAAAGATGAATACCAGCTTAAATGATTAGTTTATGTGTCATCACCAGTCAAAAGTCAATATTCAGTTAAAGGTTTAATTTCAAATTAAATGCATAAATGTATTTGTTAGATGAACAAAGTTTATAAAATGTATGATCAAGAGAATATGACGAGTCATGTAAGTCTGTCCCTATATCATTCCTCTGCCTCATATCAGACCTTCAGCTAATGCCCTAGTCTGACATTTTAGACTGCGATAATATCTGGACTGATATTGAAAATAATATTTGGTCATCAACTTGACAGTGATAAATTGTAACGTGTGATGGCTTTTTGAATCTGACAGACACCTACATTGCATTTGCACATACTTTGAAATGATATGTTGATTGAAAACAAATTTTTTTGTCACATTTTTCGGGGGAACAAATGAACCGAATAATGCCATATTTTGTCAACAGCTACTTACAGTGATGAGTTGTTACATATGAGTGATTTTCGTATCTGTCAGGCACCAACTTTCTGTTTTTCCAACTATAATTAAGAGTGGGGGTATGGTAAGCACAACAGTACATGCACTTTCTTGCTTATTTCAGGGTGCACAACAAGTGTTTCAAGAATTTCCACATGAATATATTGAACCAGAACATCTACCCAAAGTTGCCAAACATGGTGGTAAGTAAAAAAACTAAAACAAAATTGGTAAAGCTTTCAATACAGAAATATTCATACAATAAAAACTGTTAAAAGTATATGGAACATAAGAGTGCTAAATTATTGACTTTATCCTGAATATTTCGAAAGTTCAATTGATATATATTAAATTTATATGAGCAAGTTATTCTGAAGAACCTCGTTCTATTCAAATATAAAAATAAGGAGATGTGGTATGATTGTCACTGAGACAACTATCCACCAAAGTTCAAATGAAGTGGATGTAAGCAATTATAGGAACCATACGGCCTTCAACAATGAGAAAAACCCATACCATATAGTTGGTCAATGTTTATTTACGAATTGTGTGATTTCTGACATGACATATTTAATTATAACATTTCATCTGTTTCCTGTTTTTGATAAAGATGATTTTGTATTTGATTTATTTTACATGGATCAAAGTTGATGAATTTTAATTACAGCTACCAACAAATTGTATATATGTGTTGTAAGCAGAGAAGATCACTATATTCGCAAAGATGGTGGAAAATTTGATCCTGAAGAATTTGAACAGCATCCATCCAGATATGGTTCAACATTTGCCTCAAAGGTATGAAGATGCACTGTACTATTAATTTTTGTCTTATGATTGTAGAGAATTTTTGATCATGTGCATCAAGATAATTTTTTGTTTCAACAAATAGTTTGAGATTGCAGATTTACACATCCAACAACCAACAAAGAAAGATTCATATGCACACAGAAACTAAAAGAACAAAAAGTGAACAACATTAAAATATTCCAACTCCATGTGTGAATAGTCAGGTTGAATTCTATACATATTCAAGCAATATTTCCCATGAACTAGAGTTTCTTAAGTTTGGATATCAAATAGAATACTATTTATTAGTTATAAATGCAGAAAACAGACGTTCTATATCGTCATGTTATTGAAAATCATAGAATGTATATAAATCTGCTATAAAACTATTTCCTGACCTGATCTCTGAAACCAATAATTTAGAAAAGAAATCAACTCAACAAATGACACAAGAATACACAAGTTTGTGATACAATTCTTGTAATCTAAATACTTTAAAATTGCAGCTAGACACCTTTACTTTTTTGTGATTAGTATCTAAAAATAACACTTTATTCTTGGTTTTATGTTTATATTTAAGTGTCACCTGCCTTTTCTGTTTTGAAACACCTTTATTGTTTGATATACACATGAATAAAGTTCAATATTTGGTAAATGTCTATGAGATACCATCATAAACACAATACAACCAAAATGTATTTATGCCTCTCCCTTGTTGCTTTTGACTTGTCTCATTCTTATATTGTCATCTAAACTTTGCCTTTTAATTTTATTTTTATTGTTGTTGGTTCACAAAGATTTTATATTATTTAGATAAACAGAGTTATGAATTTTGTACCAGGTGAACCATTGTAGGATATTTGACTTACTGAGAGCTAATCCTAATACTGTTATGATTTTATTTGTATAAATTACTTGACCTCAATCTTTAATCTCCATATTTAATAGTAGCTGCAATATTTATAAGTTATGATAAGTCAGCCTGGCTTTTGATCCTATAAAGAATTTTACATACAATTATTTAAGTTATATAGCAGTAGGAATTTTTTTATGTGTATATTTGTATTCATTGAAATTTGTACTTCTTCATCTTATTAAAAATTTTCACCAAAATATATATTGGGAACTGGAAAGAAAGATTTTTCCTCTGTTGCAGATATCGAAAAATTTCACCGGATGTAAACTACAGTGTACAATACTGACAACTTTTGATCTACACATTTCAGCATGATATTATTTTGCTCTTCCAGGATCAGTAAAAGTTTGGGAAAAAGAAGGGGTTAAAATCCTTATACACAGTGTACAATCAACCTGTATGATGGATTAAGCACTCAATGGCCAGTGTCTAATCCTACTGTTTATCAAAATATGTGACAGATACACTTCTGGCATATGTAATGTTTAATTTCAATTGATCAATGAAGTTTACTTTCAAACTAACTTAACAGTCTACTTTTTCATACATTTATCATTTTAATAAGTGAAAACTGTTATTGCTAGACAGAGTTGTTATGATACAATTAAACATATAAATCACTGCCTATGCAAGGTTTTTGAAAAAGTTTCAAATATATTTAAATTTTTAATGTTTTCTTGTATTTTGTATTTTTCACATTCTACACATAACCATCATAATGATCATATATAAAAGAATGTTAGATATAATTGTGATTTTAGATATAATTGTGATTTTCATGACAACTGCATCTTTACTCACAATGGTTGCTTTTTTTATAGTCAGTACATGTAATTCATGAGTGAATATAATTTTAGATAGCACCATATGCCTCAGTTATCATAAATGGAATTTACTGGGCTCCAACAGCACCAAGATTGATAACCATCCCAGAGGCTAAAAGTCTCCTTCAAACACAGTCGTTTCCATGGATTCCATCCAGTTCAGGTTGTCCACAGTTACCTCATCGTCTCATTGCCCTCTGTGATATATCTGCTGACCCTGGAGGTTCTATTGAGTTTATGAATGAATGTACCACTATTGATAAACCATTTTGTTTGTATGATGCTGATCAAAATAAAGAAACAGACAGGTAGGCATTTGGAATTTTGGATTTTTATACACCAATAAACAACATTTGGTGGTATATAGAAATGTGAATGCATAATAACAATTGCAAAACTATTTTATAATATTACTTTACATGTGTTTTTAATGGAAAAGTAGTAATTAAAAGCATAGTGAAATTGAATAATTAATGGCATTTTATGGAATACAAGAAAATTAATATAATATGTGTGGTAAGTTTTACATATTGTAGACTTACAAGGGCTTTTCTGAAATTTTTATATCATTAGTACTTTTGCCATCATAAATTTCTTCAAATATCTTCTTAAATAACTTGGCAAATTTGCATCAAACTTGGCCTGATGCATCACAAGACATCTGGTCTTTCAGAAACTAATTAAAACATAGCAGCTATAAATTTGGAAAAAAAAAACATTAAGTGGTTAAAACAACAGTGTGGACCATTTTAATGCAATTTAAGAACTTTTTTTTAATCAAATGTTTATGAAAAGTCAGAGAATTGAGATAAGTATTGTTGCTATAGATAGAAATTTATGAGGAAAACTGCTTTATATGCTATAATTAATTAATTGGTATTATCAATTAGTAAACTTTAGCAGGTTAAACTTCTAAGATACACCAAAGTTTCTGAAGATAAATGCAATGACTCTGCCAAACATACTTCGTGGTAATGGTTTATAATTTTACATTTCAGCTTTGCAGGGAAGGGTGTATTGATTTGTTCTATAGACAATATGCCAGCTCAGATCCCAAAAGAGGCCACAGATTTTTTTGGTCATTTATTGTTTCCTTACGTAAAAGAAATGGTAAGAAATTTTGACATTTGTATTTCACTTGATTTTTTCACTTTAGTCCAAAAACAGTGAGTACCCTCAAGATGAATTGACAGTAATAGATAACTGTAATTTCAGGAATTTTTGGGATGTTTTATTATGGCAAAAATTGTAACTGGATGTGTTTTGCAAAAATAAAAACATTCTAAAATAGATATAAGAAGATGTGGTATGAGTGCCAATGAGACAACTCTCCATCCAAGTCACATATTGTAAAAGTAAACCATTATAGGTCAAAGTATGGCTTTCAACACGGAGCCTTATTTGTATGCAACATTTCTTGAAATCCCAATAATTAATCTTGCAGTTTTGTCAATTGTTCAACAATGCATTAATAAATGCACGCCAAAATTCTCTATTTATAGTATTGATGTTTGTTGAATATTAAACATGTTGTATTACCCAAAGCAAAGAAAAAACATCAGACACAAGTTTTTATATGAAAAACATCTTCTTTTATACAAATTATTCATGAGAGAAATGCATGCATATTCAGTTTAAAATATTTATACTGTCATTGATTGTAATGCAAACTTTTCTCTGAGAACATATATGAATATTTCATTCAAAAGGAAGTTGAGGCATATATAAAAGTATTAAATGAATTGTTTAATAAGCTGAAATGTCTTATTAATCAAATATATTCCACAGCTTAATAAAATTCACTATAAGAAGTCATTTGAAAGAATTATCATTTTCAAATCTGACACTAGGATATTCAAAGCAATAATCAAATGTTTTGGAACAGTACTTGTTGCCGTTCATAGTAAAAAAGCATCTATGTATGACATTTTTGTGTTTGTCTAACGGTTTGAACATTATGAGTAATTATAATTGTCTTCATTTCTTTCAGTTAAAGTCTGATGCAACAAAACCATATGAAGATTTTGATACAACTCCAGAGATTAAAAATGTAAGTGTAGTTTAAGGATGCATGCTATTCATGTTTATGACTTTTTCTTAATTTTTTGTAACCACCTGAATTTTCTTTTGACCCTTTTTTGTTATATCTATATACTTTTAATACAGATTAACATTGATCTTTACCCAGAGAACATATTTTGTCGCCAAAAAATTCTTTATTTTTCAAATGCTTATCTCAAAAACAAGCTTAGAGTCCTATCTTAATTTTTCCATAATTTTGATGTATAATACATTATCTATTGAAAATAATGCCATTGATCAAAATGTTATTATTTAGATTTTATTAGTGAAGATCTTTGACACATATAACACTTGTAATGATAGACTTGTATCTGATAAGTTTTAGAAAGAGGGGGTAGGAGGGTGTCATCCCATATTCCCAGAAAAATGAAAGCTGAATCCTGAATTCCCGAAAAAAGCATTGTTTCCATGATCCCGTAAAATTAGTCATTTTAAAATTCCTGAGTCCTGATAAGTGTAAATCCCAAATTCCCCATAATTAAAACCCAATCCTGGCATCCCCAAAAAGGTCCTTTCATCCCTCTAGAAACACAACATAAACTTGAATGAGCAACCTGTCATTAATTCTACTATAATTGAGGTTGATCTATTAGTAAAACTGGTCACCTTGTGATACACTATTAAGTATAGATATAAATAAAAGGATATTTAAGGTATATGTCAATGAGACAGCAAGCCAGCAACACAAAAAAAAACACATTGATGTCAATATACAGTCTTTATCAATTTTTTGTGTATTTCAATAATTTTATAAGAATTTTGATAATTTAGTTAAAAAGATCTAAAAAAGAAATCAACTAAGTGCTACTAAACTTCCAGAAAAAATGTATGTATGGTCTTTCATTAAGGATTATAATTGCATGTGTCAAATTCACCAATTTCAGCAGGAGACTCACATTTTTCTTTCTCTCATAATTTCCAGAATCTCCCACACCTTGCTTTCTCTCTTGTACAAGTTTGAATCTCCTTATTTTCAGAAATCGTCATCTTTGGATTTGGAATGTGTCCTAGTTTACTGTGTACAAAATCATAACACTTTCAGTTATTTTTCTGTCATTTAAAAAATGCTGTTAAAAATGAAGTGTTTCTTTTTAGGATAAGAGGGAACACAAAATAAGAGAAAGAATGGACAATGCTTTTAATTATGCAAGGGAAAGAGGTCTTGGTCCTGTACTTACAGTTAGACATACTTGATATTTTGTTCACCCTGTAATTTTAATGTTTACAAATACAAATTTTGATTTGACAGGCAGTTATAGCTTCTAATGGAGTATTAACACCGAATCATGAATACATTCAAGAACTAAGGAACAAATTCACGTAAGTCATTATGTCATTTTTACTGCATATTTTAATTTATGCTTTTACTTTGATCCCATTGAATAAACTCCACAGAGCACAATATCTATTGTATTTATTCAATGGGATAGTTCAACATGCAAAAATTAAATAACCTGACAAAGACCAACTGATTCTGGGGAAAGGTTTTTTTTCTTTTGCAATAAGTAACTGTCTAAATCTTATATGATTAGTTTTCCCAAATTAATTTTTGATTTCACTGGCAGTTAAAATATTTTTTACTATTATTTATATCTAATATATCATTTGAAAATCTGTGTCTATCTGTAAAATTGTATTTTATTTAACTTCTCTCTTTTACCCGTATATATGAATAATTTCATCAAAATGAATTATTCCAATTGAAATGAAAATTAATTTATTTTAGTATTAATTCCTTGATTATTATTTTTTTCAGATCTTCTCACAAGTCAAAGAAGACTAGCCCTGAACAAAAGAGAATTCTTATATTGGGATCAGGATATGTATCTAGTACAGTCATAGAATATCTAAACAGAAATAAAGACTTCATTGTAACTGTGGGTAAATATCTCAATATATATCATCTGGTATTTACAAAGATCAATTTGATACATAACTGGAGATGAGTAACCCATGTACTAAGTGTGTTCAGTTATTACAAACCAAAGAATGTCAGCATTGAAAAGTAAAACAAGGAAGCTACCAGGAAAAACAATTTATTTACATTTTTTTAATCTATGATATGCAATCAAACAGACCTAGAAAAATTGTTTTTATACAACTGCACATGGTTGTTTGTTTGTTTATATTGGGTTGTATGACCATCACCAGTCTTACAGAGGTCTTCTTGGTGGTTAATTAGAAGGTGTCTAGCCTAAAATATGCACAAAATGCAGACACATTATAACAAGTCCATGCATTGTTAATTGTTTCTTTTGGACTTTTTTGTAATTTGGATATATTTTAGTATGTTATAAATCAAATATGAGACTTTAAGTCAAATTGGTGATCACGAATTTGACAGCTAATGCCCCTCTAAATATAACTTATTGCCTTTACTATACACAATTTGTTGCAATGAAATTTAGCCCTTGACTGTTTCAATGCAACATTTTAAATCCTAGAATGCATTTATTCTAATAATTGTAAAATAGTCATAAGCAGAAGTTTCAGTGATGTCTTCTAGAGATGGACCAAACATATATGCCACTTCTTTAAAGTAAATTAAATGATGGGTGTAAGAAAGAGAAAATGTGGGTTTAAGTCAATAAGGTATCAAACCAACAGCACAAAAAACCACAAAAGACATTTAGAGGTCACTACACTATTTTTTAACACAAGTATCGGTATTTATACATGTTTTCATGCTCTTAATGATGCCAAGTGTAAACAGGTTATGCATATACTTCATAAAGTCAAGTAAACAGTTCTGCCATCAACTGTGAGACAAAAATAATCATAAATTTAAAGTAAGACAAGGTCTTATGATGTTCCTGACTTCGGACAGGCGGGCAGAATATTGTGGCTGCTAAACTATCTTTTTTAACCGCCTTTTTTTCTCTGATTTAAGGACAAATGTTAAAATTGTTTGGTTAAATGCACTGATAATCTATTTAGTTTTCGACCTCTTTTGTACTTAAAAAATCCTAGCTTTGCTTATTAATCTGTCAGATATATTTGTCTAATAAATGTTTGTTGATTTTAGCCTCCAAGTTTAAAGCTGAATTGGATAGTTTATCAAAACAGTACCCACAGAATGAAATGTTGTTATTGGATGTATCCAGAAAACATGAAGAATTTGAACATCTTGTTCAAGAAAATGACATCATAATAAGGTACAGTGATATAGATATTTTACACTCGGATCTATCAACAAAGAAAATAGGAAAACTATAAACTTTTAATTTAGAAATTTTGCTATGTTTTATTATTGCAAAAATTGTGCTTGTTTAAAAAAAAATTTGAAAAATAAAAACTCACATTTTAAATTTCGATGTCATTATTTGTATTCGCCATTTCCTGAAATCACAATATTTTAAAATGCATTTTTTGTTCACTATTCAACAATTTGCAATAATAAATGCAAACACAAATTTTTAACAGTATAGTTGCCTTCATGTAAAATTGGGATCAAGTTTGTGGTAGAAATTTTTTAAATTATCAATTGCTATTTGAGATGATATTTTTCACCTAGCAGAACCTAAAATATTCCAAAATAAACCACTACTAACCACCTACTTTAGTACTTTTATTGTGATTGCATGGTATAATCCTGACCTTCACATTATCCTAAACGGTTAATCCACCATCTTGGTTTCTATGAGGATTCTTTATTTACATAACATTCATAACTCTCTGGTAATATTCTCATCATTGATATGATAGTTTCTGCTCTTTATAGTAGCCTATTGTCTGCTATAGAATATGTCTTAACTACATTTCAATAACAGCTAAGAATATGAATGCATTTAGCTGTGCAGACTGACTGAGCCAGCGTTTAATATATATTTTATATATCAATACATATATAAAGTACATGTACATTCCAAAATGCGAACACATATATAGAATAAATAAACATATGAACAATGGCAACCTTGAAGCACAAAATGCCCATATCTCTATAAATGTATGTATATATCTGTCTTTAACGTAACCTCACCACCCAGTAATAACCTCAAAAACTTAACTAAAGAAAATTGATATTGAAAACTGTCTTACGGGGCAAGTGTAAGAACATCTCGGAACTTTGATGCCCAACCTCATCAAAAACAAATATCAAATATTATACAATTATAGCCTTGGTACGAGGTCGATACAAGGATATATTGACCTGAAAAAAGTATATTGACTGAGGACGAAGTCCGAGGTCGATATACTTCTTTGGGTCGATATATCCTGTATTGACCACATACATAGGCTATAATTGTTATATTATTAATTTCCAACCATATTTGTATGAAAATCGTTGTTTGATTTTGTTGGAAATTTATAGATATCATATTGTTTCCTAGACAATAACAACATATTAGTTGTTATTTCATTTATTTTTTATGTTTGTTTTTTAACATCTTATGTATTTGAAGATTTTTTTTCTTCAAATAATCGATCAAAGATATTTTTTAATAAAACTTTTAACAATATCATGAAATTCATTACATGACGTCACAAAGTATATCGATTTTTAGATATTCTAAAAATAACCGTGCAATATGCTTTTTGCTATCCGCCGTTTTCTGTCTACCTTCGAAAATATAGTTTAACATGTGAGTATCCCTGAACGAATCAAATTAGTTAAAATATACGAATTAATAATATTATAATATTGAAGTTTAGTGTTGAACACCTGCGGTTAGAATGATTTTCAAACACAAGAAAATAAAAACCTGCTTTCACCTCGTTAACATAAGAATACTTATTGACACAATCACAAATGATTGGTTCATGGAACCATGTGTACAATTACAGGCAAACCACCAAAAACTTACCATTATTTAAAACGTTCCTTTTAGACAAGATTTTCCTGCTTTTCTCAGAAATGCGGAAAAATAAATTTCTCTAGACTTGCCTTGCAATTGATTAAAATTCCTGATAGGCAGTATTGGTTTCCAAGAAACAGTAACCTTACACAATGAATTTTGTTATAATGTAAAACTCAATTTAACTTGTACCTGTAGAATTGATTATGATGTGTTGTTTACAGCTTGTTGCCAGGGCCGCTACATCCAGAAGTAGCCAAACTTTGTATCAAGCACAAAAGAAATATGGTCACTGCTAGTTATGTTTCACCGGAGATGCAACATATGCACAAAGAGTTAGTATTTAATCTATAAAAGGCTAACTTCTTAAAACATTAAACAGTTGAAATATAACATCTATGTTTCACATTTAAGACAATTCATTCCTATAAACTAGAAATGCTTATTACCAGATTAAAAAGAAGAAATGGTTTTGCAATTTTCTAGACTTTATTAAAATGTGTCGTTAAGGTCAATGTGCTGTAAACATGGTAAATGGGTTATGTCACAGATTTTTTAAAAATTTTATATACAACTTTGGCTCATTGAACTTTAACTGAAAATCAAAAAAAATAATGCATTTTCCTCTAAATATTACTGAATAAATTCTTTCAAAATAGGTGCAAAACAATTAGTTTATTTTTTGCAACCGACAACATTTTATAACTATATATTTATAAACAGTGCAGTGGATGCAGGGATTACTATTATGAATGAAGTTGGTGTTGATCCTGGTATTGACCACATGTTAGCTATGGAATGTTTTGATGATGTCAGGTCCAGTGGAGGAAAGGTATACTTCACAATTTTACACTGAATTGATTTCCTAATAACATTCTAGTGGACTTTAACATGAAAGATTTCACATATTTGATGGTTATTTGTATTAAATAGGGTACAACTGTCAAGAACAATGGCTGATTAATGCCAATTATTTTTAAAAATTACCCAGGATGTTTACGACAGACATTTGGCATTATTGTCAATGAGACCAGCAACCAACCATTCATGCAATCAAAAATTATAATTAAAAAGAATACATTTAATGTAGATTTCACCAATAATTAGGTGTCCACACTAAGTGGACAGGTGGATTGACAGATTGAAATTCCAGCAGAGAATGGTATAAAATTACATGGTAATGGACTTAAGGGACAACTATTTGATATTCTGTGGGGTAGGGGGCAGGAGGAATTTTTGTTGATTGACTATTCATTTTCATCTGTTGCTACAAATGCTTATTTTTCTTTTGTGCAAAAAATTATTTCCACTTTTGAATACAATTGTTTCCTGCATTTTGTGTTGCAGAATATTCATTTGCATCCTATCTTATACAAGATTATTTATTTTCAGCTCTTACCAGGCTGATATTAATTTTTAAATACTGATTAAAATCGTCTGCCCCCCCCCCCCCCCCCCCCAAAAAAAAAAAAATCAAACAAGTACATAACAATGTGAAGTGGTTGAATAATTGCACTATGGCAATAGAAATGTTCACTTGTGTACCTGTAGATAAGATTATTTATTTCTTACAGTTATACTAGAATATAATGGTTTCATCTGTTTTATAATAATGAAAAGATGTGGTATAATTGCCAATGAGACAACTCTCCACCAGAAACCAAATGACATAGAAGTTAACAACTATAGGTCAACATACTGCCTTCAACAATGAGTAAAACCCATACTGCATAATCAGCTATAAAAGGCCCTGAAATGACAAATGTAAAACAATTCAAACAAGAAATCTAATTACCTGATTTATGTAAAAAAATATGAACCAAATACAAATATGATATACAGCAACATACGACAACCACTTTGATGTTATAATTAATCAAAACATTAAATTCTTTCCCACTTGTCTTTTTCTAAGTTATTTTCAATAAAAAATACTGTCTTACTTATCTCTTTAACTTTTTAATACTCTGTAAAGCTTGGCTTTGGTTACTGATTTCAGATAACTTCTTACATTTCTTGGTGTGGAGGATTACCTGCCCCTGAACATTCAGACTCACCTTTAATGTACAAATTCAGGTATGCACTTTATGGCTTCCGCTTCAGTAACTATTGCATTTCCATTCAAATTATTAAACAGAAATCATTGATTAAGGTTATATGTAAAGAAAAAGTCATTCCTGTGTGCCAAGTTATAGCATTGATTTCCAAGGATGGACCAATGTCCAACATTCTGTCCATTTGTCATATTAGATGTTTCTCTTACAATGTCTTAATACAAGTATGTTTTTATGATGAATTCTCTTAAGAATTAGCTTAAGTATTTGGAAAGATGGTCTGATGGTCTCAGTACTTTTTGACAACTTTCCAGAGGTACTTTCTAAAATAATAAGTTTTCTTTTATCAGATCCATTGCATAATGAGAATATGTAAGCAGATCTTTTTTCTTTTTATGATTTAAAGTCTTTTGTTTTAAAATTATGCATTGATTTTAGTCATTAAACTTTAATTTTTTTAAGTGTTAAGTAAGTTAGTTGAAATGAATTCCATTGTTGTTGAATGTATTACCTGTCACTTGGTTGTCTAGCGATAGATTTAAGAGGGTCTGGATGAGGGACGTCATTTCTTTATTCTTTAATTTTTGGACCATTTTTCTCTTATTTCTTTATTTATAATGTCCATTATTCTCTATTCTTTATTTATAATGTCCATTATTCTCTATTCTTTATTTATAATGTCCATTATTCTCTATTCTTTATTTGTTCATTATTCTCTATTCTTTATTTATAATGTCCATTATTCTCTATTCTTTATTTATTTTGTCCATTATTCTCTATTCTTTATTTGTCCATTATTCTCTATTCTTTATTTGTCCATTATTCTCTATTCTTTATTTGTCCATTATTCTCTATTCTTTATTTATAATGTCCATTATTCTCTATTTTTTATTTATAATGTCCATTATTCTCTATTCTTTATTTATTTTGTCCATTATTCCCTAGTCTTTATATTTTTTTGCCTATTTTTCTCTATTCTTTATTTTTTGGCCTATTTTTCTCTATTCTTTATATTTTTTGCCTATTTTCCTCTATTCTTTATTTTTTGGCCTATTTTTCTCTATTCTTTATTTTTTTTGGCCCTTTATTCTACACTGTTTGCTCATTATTTTCTATTCTGTAAACCCCATCCAGACCCTTTTTTATTTTTTTTTTTATTGAACAATATAAACCACTTCTTTTTTAAAGTAATTATTTCTTTTCTTTGTTATAGTTGGTTCCCAATAGGTGTGTTGAAAAATTGTTTAGCAGGAGCAACATATCTAAAAGATGGCCAGGTATCTTATTTTTTCTATAATTACAATTTTATAGTACATATATTTTACTTGAGGATGAAGGGTATCAATATAGATATGTAATTTATGAAAAGACATTTTCCTTAGTCATTTGAATAGTTTGACATACATTTATAATTGAGATAGTGCTTTATGTCAGTAACTATATGATAATTATATTATTCCACATTTCATAGCACATCAGTGTAAGAATATCAAATTACTATTTTCTCTGTAAAAATCTTTATCAATGTATGTGGGAGCATATTTCAGTCTAGTTTTTCTAAAAAGTATAAATTTTATGCACACATACATATGTGTATAACAGGATCAAATATTTTCCTTGCATATCAGTAGATATATTTTTCCTACATTTACAGAAAATAGAGATTCCTAGTGGTGGGCTGTTGGATGCTCCAGAAGACTTGACTTTTATGCCTGGATTTAACTTGGAAGGTATCCCCAACAGAGATTCCACAAAATATACTTCACTTTATGGTATTGAGTCAGCTAAAACTATGTTGAGAGGAACTATAAGATACAAGGTAAATATTTTTGTTTAATAAGAGTTATGTCCCTTTTAGTTCGGTACTTAAAAGATCGTTTAACATCTTGTGACTGGTTTTATCCAAATTTTTTTCATGTTCCTGCCGTCACTGGAGGGGGCATTAAGTGTTACCCTTGTCCATCCATCTGTACGTATGTACATCCCGAAATTGGTTTTCATTCTCTAACTTGAGTTTGCCTCAACCAAATGTTATGAAACTTATACACAATGCCTTTAACCACAAAACACAGATCATGTTCGAATTTTGGTGGCTTCACTTTTACTGTTCTCAGTTATGCCCCTTTATAATGTTATATGCAAGTGGGGGCATCATCTGTGTCCCTTGGACACATTCTCCATTTATTTAGCTTTTAAGTTTATGATTTTCATATTGATTAATATTATAATATATGATTTTTATCTCCAAATTTTAACACCTTATATTGCAACAATATGCTCCATACAATTCTTTTTTTATTAACAATCATGTTAATAAGAGCAGCAGACAAAATATTAGCAAGGATTTACTGTAAATTCAACAAATCATGGAAACATACAAATCAATGTGTATCTTAGTTTACGTGTATTGACACCACATAAATATGGAAACTACTTTGTTTATGAAATAAATAAAGATACAAAATTTTAATGGTAGACATTTATTCACATAAATATAACAGTACAATTATTTATTACAATAAACAAAGGATTAAAAAGCAGGAAAAATATGAGCATTACATAATCTGTTGATCATTTTCTACCAAAACATTGTGGTGATGTGCCTTAAATATAAATAAAAGAATCACTCTCACCCTTTCAAACAGCAGCGGTCAGGGCTATTAACATCTCAGAATCTGTTTAAGGTGAATTATTGAAAGGACTTCAATGAATTATATATTTTTATCGTGTAATTAAATTAAATATATCGGGGAAATGGGATATTTTTTGTTGTTGATATTTTTAGCATCCTATTTGCTGTAGTCTACTGTACCATTTTACTTTTACTTCTTTTAGTCTTGAGACATAAAATATATCCAGTCAGCTTGCCACAATACAAATATTAAAAGAAGAAAGTTTACTTTTTATGATGCCTAAAGTTAGAATCATGTTAAAGAAATTTAGGATTAATTGATATGTTTACTGTGATTAATTTTAATACAAAAATTTCTGAATAGATATTCTTATTGACTCTTATATTTTTGCAGGGATTCTGCGATGTAATTCAGGGTCTGGTTGATCTTAACCTACTTAGTTCAGAAGAAAACTCCTGTCTTCATCCCAAAGGACCGGACATGACATGGGTAATTATCAATACTTTGAACATTATTATATTTTCTTGTCATTAGTTGCAAAGGCTAAAGAACAATGGGTTGCTCTATGTTTGCATGTTTATCTGGTTTTTTTTCTCTCCAAATTTATACACCTTATATTGCAACAATTTGCTCTATACAATCCTTTAATAGTTGCATGAACAATTGAATTACTGACATGATGCAAAGATTTGAACTTTATGTTGAAACAAAAGCAATGTAGAAAATACCAACTTTTAAACTGTGTATGCTTTCATATTTCTAGTACTCATGTTTGCCAATTTTCACAGTTTGTTGGCAAATCATAAGAAATTAAAGATTTAATGAGGACTAAAAGTGCCTGAAGAGAAATCAGTTTATTTGAGACTTGAGATACTGTGCATTCACTATTATTTGTTGGATACCAATTTTTGTGAATTTTGAGGGTATATGTAAACCATGAATTCAACTGTTCAACGAAATACAAATTTTCCGTAGGTTTGTATGCAGACTTTGGCAAAGCCATGAAATCGAACCCCCACAATATTACAATTGTTCCTCAATCTACTACAATTGGTATCCATGAAAAAACATATGAATTCACACTTTAATAATGCATTAGATCAATTTAGGCTTCTAAAATATTATGAGCTATTCAAAGCAGAAAACAAGAACAATATATCCTCTGGTAGCCTCATGTCATGGTCAACCACCCATGACAACAGGTATATATGTTAGATTCAGATTGAAGTCCAGTTTCTATTAGAGGTCTGTTCCTCAATTTGATGTAACATTCACAAACCAAGGTCTAATATTTTTCTGCCTCTAATGGACGTCCAATGTGACGTCATGCATTACCTATTATTAAATAGGAGTCTCCTCTACTCAATGTCTAGTATGATTTAAAAGTAGAGGTGGAAGATACCAAAGGGATATCAAAACTTGATATGTAGGAATGGTAAGCAGATCCTGCTCCACATGTGGCACCCATGGTGTAACTTATGTTAGTACAAGCCCAATGATAATTCTAATTTGGTAAGTCACATTCATGGAAAAGAAAACAAGATTGTGGTTACGACTATTGGAACGTAAGTCACATTCAAGAAAAAGAAAACAAGATTGTGGTTACGACTATTGGAACATATCCGTCATCACCTGTGAATTAGATCTTCAATAACAGTCAACCAACTCGTGATGGTGTCCGTAAAATTTTCAACAGGATGACTTTTACTTCACCACACCACATTCTTACATCTCAAAGAGATTTTGGAAGTATAATTGTGATTTTTTACCCCTTTCCATCGAATCAGTTGAGTGAGTTCCTGCATTATAGATATTGTAACTCAAAATTTTTTTTGAGTTTCAGATAAAATTGATAAATCAAAGACTTATTTAGGCAGGCTACAAAGATTTACGAGTCGGTGATTTTTCAATTCAGTAAATAATTATGTTTTTTTATTTCAGAAATCTTATGTTTGTGATGTTATGGGTAAATCACCTGATACATTTTATGATTCGGTGAAAGACATGGTATTTGAAAGGGTTGGACATTCAGAAAAAAAGTTGCAGACAATAATTGAGTAAGCAGTGTTTAAAAAGAGATGCAAAAAATACCAGATTGACATTCAAACTCAAAAGTCGAAAATAAACTGACAACACCATGGCTAAAAAAGAAAAAGACCCAACAGACAAACAATAGTACACAAAACACAACATAGAAAACTAAAGACTGTGCAACACGAACCCCACCAAAAAGTAATCTCTGTATTTGCAGTGTTCCTGGAAGTTGAATTGAAAATATTAAATTTGATTTTTTTTTAAAGAATACCTTGAGCCTGTACATATGTTCATCATTGATGAGAAACTGAAGATATTCTCAACAGTTTAGAATGGAGTTTTATTTTCTATTCTACAGACTATTAAATGGATTATAAGATATTTCTCTCATAACATTTTCATTGCAAACATTTTGTAAAAAAATCCCTATTGCAAGCGTAATATATTGGATTGTAATATTGTAATTTTTATTTCAGTCTTGGATTACTTGATGATCAAGTGATTGATAAGAAAGGAACTCCTATCGACACTTTATGTCATTACCTGGCTAAAAAATTAGCATACGGTAAGTTATAATATCAGTGGCGGTTTAGGGGCTTGGAGGAGGTACATCCCACATTTTGATTGCAAAAAAAATTTGTTTTTTCACGATTTATAAAAAAATTGTGTATAGAATTGTCCAAAACTTTTTAATATTTTCAATTATTGGGAATTACGCCCCCTTTCAAAAATTTTGGATCCGCTCCTGAATATGTACAGTTGTGCACAAGTTCTTTTTTGAGCTTTGAGTTAAATATAGGCAACATGAAAAAATAAGTTCACTTCCTTAACATACAAATTTACAGTCATCGGTCAAAAGGATTGTCCTCAATTAATTTCTTAGATATATCATTTATAGTCACTTTTAAAAATGTATTAATTTTTTTCTCAAAATATTTTCATTAAAATTTATTTCCTTCATAAATCATAAAACAAATATGCTGTGCAGAAACACTTAAAAAAACTATGCTTATATATTATTCGTTTAAAAGTGAAGAGTTCTATCAAAGATACTTACATTTGTGTTAAACTATTTGAATTTTCAAGAACCCAATGAGAGAGACATGATATTAATGCATCATAACATTGGTGTGGAGTGGCCTGATGGAACAACACAGAGGAGAACAGTTGGACTGACAGTGTATGGGGATTACCATGGTTACTCAGCCATGGCAAAGACAGTTGGGTATCCTACAGCTATTGCAACAGAGATGATATTAAACGGTAGGTATAGATAGGTTTGGATTGACACAATTTGAGCAAGAGTTACTTCCCTTTTGTTGCCATGTTGGTGGTCTAAGTGCACAAATTCCTTTATAAATCAAAACCTTGAAGACTAAGAAGTACTGTAATGAAATTCCTGCTTATAGTTCAAGCATTAATTGTCAGTGTATGTTCATTTGCAGCATTTAAAAGTAGGTACCCATTTTATGTACTAGGGATTCATTTATTTTTCGTAGATACATGTACTAACTTTCGTGAATTGTATTTTCATGGATATTTGATTTAGGGATTTTTCCAAAGTCTGCACACCAGCCCATAAAAAAAATTGTACTTTGTTGATCTTTTAAATTCATGGTTAACCTAAGCCCATGAAATCTGCAAACATTGGTATCCCATGAATTATAATGGATCCACAGTACACCTATAGTGTAACACAGAACCTTCAAACTTTCTAGAATGTTGGTACATGTATATACATTGAAATTATGCACCTCACATTGTGTACAAATTTTGAAAATTTTTGTCTGTTTTATCTAATGACTTCTTGGAGAATGTAGATTTGCAAATTTGCAGAAATCAACAGATATCACCTTTCCTTACTAGCATTGAAATAGATACAACATAATGCATATCAAATAATAGTGGCATCACTATTTATATGCCCCTTCTATTTAGCATCGTAGCCCAGCTTTTTGGATCTTCAACTCATTTTTTGTTATAATTAACAGAGAAACAGGAAAGGTCACACTGTCAGACCACACACTAATCACATGCACCATCAAATGACAAACTACCAGTACATTGAGAAGACAAATAAAAAGCTTGGAAACCATAGAGACTGAACAATCTGACCAATAAAAGTTTGGAAAATCAGAGGCAGAACAATCCGACTAGTAAAAGCTTGTAAAAAACAAGAGAGACAGAATAATCATAGTGTTGAAACATTATTTAGGGTTTTTAATCTATAATAATCCTAAATCTGAGACTTAAATCATCCACAATTCAGAACAGTTGGAAATGAATAAATTGGCCATTTTAGAATCTAAAGAACTATGGGGTATTATTGTTTGTACTCCAAAATGAAATTGATTTTACATCATGGGTTCAATTTTATGTTTTTAGCCAATCACACATTTTGGTGTTCGCTTTTGAAAATATTACCCAGAATGCATTAGATTTTGATAATGCGAATTGAGGAAGAGAAAATTGGTTTAAAGTCTATGATTATATTTTTACATTCCTTCAACTCTTCCAAGAAACTGAGGCACAATATTAAGTCTTAATTAATGTAGACTTATTTTCTCATCATTTATGTAAATGATAATGCAAAATATGAATTAATTACAGGTGAAATTCAGAGAAAAGGTGTACAATTTCCCATGTCAAGAGACGTTTATAAGCCAATCTTACAAAGACTAAAAGCAGAGGGAATCAAAGCAACTGAAAAGATTCACACGTTGTAAAGTTTTGGTAGATCTCACAACTGAAATGATTCACATATTGTAAAGTTTTGGTAGATCTCACAACTGAAAAGATTCATACATTGTAAAGTTTTGATTGATCTCAATGAAGACATAAAATGAACCAAATTATGTGTAATGTCATGATATAAAATGAATCAAGTTATGTGCAGTGTCATCAGTTAACATTAAGAGTGAGAGTGATTATGGAGTTGCTAGAAGATATCAAAAAAATGTTTAATAAATTTGATTTTGACATTTCCACAGTTTGAAATGGTCCATACAAATTTAATGTTTTGTTTGTTGCATGTGTGAGTGAAACTGTTTGAGAAAGAAATTTAATTCTTAGAGACACATTTTTAAAGCTGCATTCAAATTGAACTCAATGTAAACCAATTAAAAAATCATTTATCAAAAATGAAAAGCATAACAATTGTTGAGATACAGTTGTTAAAAAAAATTTGATATTTAAATATTTTGTCAGACATGAAAATGATAAAAATGTTAATAAGATATTTCTTGACGTTTTTTTGTCAATATTTCACTATGCAGTACGTAATTTTTGAAGTTGAATTATCATGGAGCATTCCTAATGTTGTGATTTTACTTGATTATTTTTTTTGAAAAATTGGTATTTAATGACATATAGCTGATTAAAAAAAAAGGAAAGGTTGGATAGAATGTTTATCTATAAAATCATGAAACCAAGAAGTTTTTTGTAGCAAAAAATTGTGATGCTATAATACTGTAACAACTATCTGCAGTGTTTACCATTGGTCTTTCCTGTATAATGCAGAATTTTGATATTCAATGTTAGCAAAGTAAATATATTAGGAAATTTTATATGTATTGTGTGAAAATAATTGTGTCACCAAAGATTGGAAATGTTTAATTTTTTGAAAAAAGGGCTTTTTAAATGACTAACTTGTTATGAATCTTTTTTAATTTTATAATCCCTGTTTTTTATTTATAATCAAAAATTGATGAAAATTAAAATAACTATTTCTGTGATATTGGTACTTTTTACAGTTTTGTCTTTTATTGGCTTTGAACTTATACCCAGGGTAATCTGAATATTATATTATTGTTATCTCTTAGTGTTCGACTTTTTCTTCTTCGTTAACATATCAAATTATATGTATATGTACACACATATTTATACATGAAATTTAAAAACAGTAACATTTTATTTTTTAATGAGAGTCTTGTAATTTTTGTTTTAAAGGCATACTATGGTTTAGTTACTTGTCTACTCATCAGTCTCAATTTGTCAAGTTTGCTGAAACTGATACTTTATGAAATTTTGTTCCATGATGACAAAACTCTTGTTTGATTTTGACATTTTTCTTATTTGCATTCCTGAGTTTTAGAACTTAAATCATTTGAGCATGTCTTTTGATGATCTCATTGATAAGTTAAGATTGTTTTATTAGGTCATTCAGGAACTTTCAAACAATGTTTGGTTCTATAAAGCCTTTTAATTTTGATGATTTTTATCAGTTGTTATAAATTTGACAGTTTTTAGCATGTCTGTTGGTCGACATCTCAGGTTTGAGTTATTGAATCTCTGAAAAATTTTACATATTTTTTTTTTCATCAGGCCGCACTCCATTTCGTTTTTATATATTTTTTCAATTATCTCTGGAGCCTAATTCTGAATTTGTCAAAATAAAGACATTATTATGTGTTTCTTGCACGAAGTCCATTTTTTTTTTTTTATGATTCAATGAATTGTTTCAGTCATACAATCAGTAAAAGCTACCTCTCTTACAATTTTCAAAATATTTTCAGGGTTTGTATCAGCAGATTTGTTGTTCTGGAGTTATGACAAAAAGCTAAAAAAAATGTTGGAACAGGTGTATCAAACACTTTGAATGCAAGTGTCTAATAACCTCAAAAATCTTTTTAATGAGATCATTTTAGCCAAAAATTTGTTAATATAAGGGCTTTTCCATTAAAATGTATGTGGGAAGGTAGGAAGGGAAGTTTAATTATTGAATGTGGGTCATGGGTCTTTTTTCAGTATGCATCTATTACCATTATGCAAAATGATCTAAAAAATGGTTCTTGGTTGTAGGGATATTTTGAAAGTTCCTTATCCTCCCACATATATTTTAATGGAATAGCCCTAAACATGCTATAAACTTTTTTGACCTTCCATCAGTGTATTAATTTAAATTTGTAGACTTTTTAATTTTTTTTTATTAAATGTGTCTGAAAAAGTGACTGAAAAACTTTTATTTATGTATGAGGGTCTGCATGGGGTTTACAGAATAGAAAATCAAGAATAGAGATAATTGGGACAAAACAAACAAAGAATAGAGAATAATGGGCAAAAATTTAAAGAAAAAAGAAAAATGACCTAAAAAAAATTAAAGAACAAAGAAATGAAGACCCCCATCCAGACCCTCGTGTATAGGACTAATGTTTATTGCATTTTAATCAGTGATGGAACATTTTTTTTACATGAGGGATTTCTTTGTTAACCAGGAAAAATTGATATTTTATATCTTTAAAATCTTTGATAACTTTGTTTTTGTTTTTGGTTAAATCATTATTTTGTTTAACTTTTTTTTTGTATTACTAAATTTAAGTTTCTTTGTTATTGTAAAAACTTTCAAATGAGCATCAACTTCATACGTGAATGAAAAATAGAGTTATTTGTTTGAGGCATGAATCTCGTTAGCAATTTTTTTTGTTTGTATTTTTTCCTAAAGTTTTTAAAATTCTTATACTGTTTTACTTGAGAGTTGACTCTACAGTTTGCTAGATAATATTTGTTGTTGAATGGTTGTTTGATGTGGAAATTTGGATTGTTAATGAAATACATTTAAACTTTGTCTTATTGATAGTCTATTACTGTTCACCAGAGATGTACATTTTATATTTTGTACCTTTGAATTATATCAAATGTTTTTGTTTTTCATATGCAGATGTAGAGCTTTATTAAGACATTAAATGTCAGTAATCATTGCATGTAAATATACAGCATTGAAGATTTTTTATATTCAATTATTAAATATTGACAATTTAACTAAATATACAGAATAAATGTTAAAATCTGATATTAAGTATTAAGCAGCTAATCACTTTATTTGTCTCAGAACATGACAATTTGTTTTAATTTTTTAGCCGAGTTGTGATAAAATTAGACTATGCATTTGATATTAGTTCCCCGAAGAAGCAAAAATTAATTTACTGATTTTATCTCTTGACATTTTACATTGATTGATATGCTATAGAACTAGCCAGGAGGAGAGGAAGAATTCATGAGTCATAAAATCAAAGGTCATGGTATTGTGAGCTACTAATGACAGTGTCCAGATACTTATATCTTAATTGAAATGATTCTTTGATAATCACTAAAACTTAATGTAAAACTCAAAGGTATAAATATTCAGTTTTTTTGAATTCCAGACATTTGTTTTTTTATTTGAAGAAAGAGTACAATCAGCAACATGTTTGCCATGCAATTACAATCCAGCCTTTTAAATATGTAGTTGGTCTCCATTTTACCCCTGACTCTACCATGATTTCTAATATTTAATAAGTTTACAATCTTTGATAACTTTATTTTATTTTTTGATTAAATCGTTATTTTTTTGACTCTTTGAAGATTTAACACATTATGTATTTGAAAGAAAAAAACAAATCCTTTTAATTTTTTGTACCAGTGCAGTGGCGGATTTAAGGGGAAGAGAGGGGAGGGGTTGATTCGTCTCTGTGTACTGTACAGATAACCTTTCCATGTTTTGTATGAGTAGCCCATAGGGGATAAAAGTGTCAAAGAAGTCGAAACTGTTATTCAGAAGTCACAAAAAAATAAATCATGTTACAAAACTCATGTCACAACTCGGCTATTGTGCTTTAATTAGTTTTTTCAATTTTTAGTTTATAATGATATGAAATGATCATACTCCATTTAAAGCAGCATTAGTTTGACCACAATTATTCTTTTGAATTTTGTTTATACAATCAAAGTGTGATAGATTGTAGCTACTAATTTTGTTTGAATACTCTATATTCCACTGTTTGTTAAGCACACATGTGATAGACCACTTGTTAATATACACAATTCAAAAGCTGGTATTAAATGTTTGATATGTAAATTTGATAGAATGAGTGGGTTTTATATATACTGTGGATTCATTTATTTTCGTGGATACCAATTTTCGTGGATTAAGGAAAACTTACATGTTCGTGGATATTTAATTTCGTGGTTTTTGACAATGTCTGCATACAAGCCTATAGTAAATTTGCCATTCGTTGAACTTTTAATTTCGTGGTTAACATATAACCTTGAAATCCACGAAAATTGGTATCCAACGAATAATAATGAATCCACAGTATTAGAATTTTACCTATTATAAACAGTGTATTAAAATATATATTTCTATGCTATCACAACATTTTGTTTCATACACAGAACGTTATTGAAAAGGTTATCATGATAGTTTTGCCTGGGAATAAGAAGTTCTACATTGTGTTCATTTAAATGCTTACCAGGTACATTTTTTTAATTGTGGAATTTTAACAGAAAAAAATTCACAAAAAAATATAAAAAAAACTGTTTCACTTATAGTTTTGTTATTGGAACCCGGTGTTAAAAACAATTAAATGTATCTGTATATGTGACCATACCATATCTTAAATTTGGGCAGCAATGGACAGTATTTTCATGTTTTATGGATTTTAACCCTGTTAAGTTTTCATCTGTCGACTTGAAGCAATACTATTATTTTGACCAACTTTTTATTTTAGGTGCAAGCAAGACCTATGAAATATCAATACAGATTGATATACTGCATCATAAATAAATCTCATTAGATTTGCAATATCTTTTAATTTTTAGTACTCTGAAACTTCTTAAATATTGAAAAAGAATAAGTTGAGAAACAACCAAAAATTGAAAGAACACAGAAAACATCAATTTCAATGAACAAACTTGTATCTTGTTAAAGTCTTACATTGTTATATAGATTTTAATACTGATTCCCTATGGCAAAACAATGATTGAAATCTAGGGTACTACCATATGTCTCGTTAAAATACATGGCCCAAATATCATATCATTTTTAAAATACATATCTTATTTATTGTTTTTATGAGAATAAGTATTTTTGTAACTCTGTGTTTAAAAGCAGATTATTAGCTCATCTGGTTTAAGAGCTATTACTGCGGTTTGACATCTGAAGTATGTCATTAAAGATTAAAAAATATTCAATAAAACTAATGAGACAAAACTTGGGCCTAATCTCCTATTGAAGAACTTCTTTAATTCCTCAGTATCCACATGAAAAATTATTGCATCAATTATAACAGTCAAAGTTATTAAATAAAGAAAATTTGAAAAATATTCAATATAAGGAATGATAAATGTATTATTCATTCTAGAATTATGCAAAATGAGTCAGTCAATCTTCAACCATTGCTAAAAGAAGAAAATAAGAATAAATCAAACAACCAAAAAGACTGTTTCCTTACTTTTGGTTTTAATTCCTATTTAATTAATTGAGCAATAATGATAGATGCAAGTCCATCAACAGCAAAGCATTAACATTGCTTCAAAAATGTTAACCTAGAGAAATATACATTTAAACTGGCTTTTGAAATGCACAATGTTTATCATGTTAATTTGGTCGCTGTGTGTAGTCATTAAGGATTTTTTTATATTAAAATGTTTGATTAAATCATGGGTGTTTTTTTATTACATGTGTAATAATATTATGAAAATAGTAATGCCAAGTATATTAATGTATCTCAAGATCAGAGCCAGTGCCTTGTTGCTTGGATTGATTGGTTGGTGTTTAACCCTTCTTTCAGTACTAATGGCTATTTCATGGTGGTCAGTTTTTATTGGTGAGGAAGCCGGAGTGCCCAGAGAGAACCATGACCTTCAGTAGGAATTGTTGCTTGGACAAGTGAAGCCTAAAATCAATGACCAGAATGACCTTATTTTTGATAAGAGTCCGTCATAGAGGCATTCATAAACCAAGTTCAAAAAATAGGACACTCCATTATAGAGGAAAGCCCAGATGAAAAATTTGAAATGGTTTGCTTATAGTCCAGTACAAAACATAAAACAAATTAATGATGCATGAAATGAAGCTGCCAAATTACTGAAAAATAACAATTTCAGGCTTTTTGACCTGCCACGTTCTGTGCCTTTTTTTGTTTTTTGCCATGGCATTGTCATTTAATTTTAACCTATGAGTTTGATTTTCCCTTTGGTATCTTTCGCCTCTCTTCCAATATATAAAGCCATTCCTCATTATCAACAAAAGTGAAAATCATCAATATAGTAACTCCATTTTGTCATCTGTAACAAAATTAAAATTTGGAAAGTATTGATTGAACAGTTCACAAGAAATAACACAGAAACGACATAGAGAGCCATTTACCAATATATCAAGGATCATAACTCCTAAACTGTAAAAGTGAAAATCGTCAATATCCAAATAGACCTTCTTTTTGTCATCAGTAATATCATATTAAAATTTGAAAGCATTGTATGAACAGTTCTTAGGTTATTGCACGGAAACAACATAAAGCGCCATTTTCTAATATGTCAAGGACCATACCTCCTTCAGATAGAAGTGAAAATCATTAATATTGTAATTGACCTCCATTTTGTTATGTTGCAGAATAGGGCTTACTGTGGATTCATTATTTTTCGTTGGATACCAATTTTCGTGGAATTCGTGGGTACATGGAAACCACGAATTTAAATGTTCAACGAATTGCAAATTTGCTGTATGATTAAATGGAGAATTTTGGAAAACCACGAAATCAAATATCCACGAAAATGCAAGTTTTCCTCAATCCACGAAAATTGGTACCCACGAAAATAAATGAATCCACAGTATATCAATTCCAAAATAGAAGGTGCTCAACTACATTCTATGTGCAATCACACTATGAAGATTCAAGGATTTAGGTTGAAAAGTAGAAATTAATTACACAAACTGGTACATCTTTTGTAAATGAGTTTGTCAAATAAGACCCCCAAAATGGCCCCTCTTTCTAGCCAATTTAGGATTCAAAGGCCATTATTACAGGGTATCACAGCTTTAACAACAACTTTAAAAAAGGAATTAGGATTTTTTTTTATCTTGCCTGCAATTTTCATTGCAGAATGTACGACATTGGGACAGCATTCCGGAAGATGTGGAGTAAACTATTTGTACAAAGGTTTATAATTCAGAGGGTTAAAAACATGGATGCTTCATACTGTGTATACAGATACCTTATGAGATCTGCCAGACATACATGTAAACCTTGCAATCATTCCACACACCATATAACTTATGTTACAAAGTTTCCATCTGTTTTCATGGTTCAGTGACTGCTTCAAAAATTGTTTACCGGTATTTTTTTTGTCATGTTTATTTCTCAATTATGAGTACTAGAAGTCTAGGATGATAACTATTTTTTGTATATGGGATCCTTGGAAGGTCTATATGTCTGGCAACAGGGTCCACCTGACCTCTACATCATTTCATGGATCTGTGATTAAGGTTATTTTTTGTTGTCAAGTCCTTTTCCCAGATACTATAAGCAATATATGCTGATGAGTCAAGCCTTCTGTATGTGTCTGTCCCCAAGTCAGGAGCCTGTAATTCAGGGGTTGTAGTTTGTCGTTATATATCAGATTGGTTTTTATGTTTATTTTGTACATAAATCAGGCCGTTATTTTTCTCATTTGAATTGTTTTACATTCGTCTGTTTTGGGCATTTTATAACAAACTATGTGGTATGGGCTTTTATCATTGTTGAAGGCTATACAGTGACCTATAGTTGTTTACTTTTACCCAAGTCATTTGGTCCCTGATTGAGAGTTGTCTCATTGGTAACATACTTTTATTTTTATATTGAAATACAGACAATTTTGTCAATTTTCAGGAAATTCTCTATTTTCAGCCTTTTTGTAGTGTTACTGACAAGTTTAAGTTTTAAGAAAAACTTGAAAATACTGTTTAACTTTCTCACACATATATGCATCTACTTGAAACACTTTTCATTTTGAAATAATGGACTTTTATATTTCGGCCAAATACTCCTTTTGCTGAAAAATGACCAATATTCCAATTTTGGAAAAATAGGAAAAAGTTCCTTTAACAGTTCTTTTACATGTATAACAGGTGCACAACTTTAAAATGTGTGCAAATGTTCTGTGAAGTTCCAGGGATCTGGGTTGAAAATGGAAGGAGTTTTATTACAAAAACGGTACCATCTTTTGACAAATCTGGAAGATTGGAAAAAATTCTTCAAACAATTCCATATGATAAATAGCAGGTGCCAGTTAAAACTGAACACCCTAAGGATGATTGTTTCTATGTTTGGTTATGAGGTCAGTGGTTTCAGAAGAGAAGATTTCTTAACAAATTAATGAAAATGGACATATGACAGACATGAATTGATGAGCAAGGTCCTCTGTGCGAGTGGAAAATGATTGAAAAAAATTTCTACTGACATTATCCGCAAATCTGACATTTACTAAAGCATACGAATCTAAGACATAATGCATATATTTGATCATTGGCTTGATAAAGAAACAAGATAGAAAAATATTCTTTAATAACTCTTAAACATGCAAGAAATAATTATATAATAAAATGCAAAGCAATAAACTTCATACACAAACATAGAAAACTAAAGTTTAAATGACTTTTGACACGTAACAAATTTTTAACTCCAGGGAAATCATAAGTAAATAAATAAAGTAGGGTAATTTTAAGTTGTTAAGGTTATGTCAAGTAAACTTAGTTATTGTTGTTTTTTTCATTATGATCCGCCGATACATTTGATTAATACAGGATGAAATCTCACATGTTGCTTATATATAATTAGATAAATTTAGATATATTAATGTATGTGCAAAGCATATTGCCAGTTAAAAGCTTTGTAACATTTGAACTTCAACAGTATCTCTATAAAATAGTACAAGGCCATAGTTTCTAGAGTATCATAGTTCTATATGAATTCTTTTAATTAACTATTGTGGCAATACAAATCAAATAATGAAACATACATGTGATCAGCTGTGTTATTATTGCTCATTGTGTTTAAATCACATAAAAAATCATAAACAAAATATCTGAACTGAAAAGACTGATACATGTGATATATGACAACAACAAAAAATTTCACTTTATGCATTGACCATATAAAGGTTAAACAAGCAGAGGAATGTTTTACCAACGGTAAACTGGAAGTAACATATAGGAATGATCTGTAAGCATATCTGTTTTATAAATGCATTTATACATTAATATTACATAAAATCATAAATAATATTTCAAATAACATTTCCAAAACTATAAAACACCATAGTACAGATTGATCATGTTTTTCAACTATTAGTGATTTTCAGGATTTGTATATAATGTAATTTGAATACGGAGTTATTTCTGTTGGCCACCATGCATGTTGGAGATGAAACTGGTTGATTTTCTTATTTGACTTACCAAATTAAAACATGTGGTACAAGCAAGTTTGAGGAGATCATTACTAGATGGTTATGATGATTCATGCTTCAGAAAACTTTTTCTATAGTATCGTGGTAAGTAAAACAAATGCATTTGGATGATTAATTATAATTTGTGCATGTTGACCATCATCATAGTGACAAAGTGGAAATAACTCTTGTTCAAATTGAGTCAATCAAAAACTACCTATAGGTTGCACTTTGTAAATACAGCTGTTTCTCAAACCACGCCTCTTTTGGGGAGATATTTAATATTCATAGGTATGTTAATTTGTTAACGTACTGGTTCCCATTGATGATCTCTGTGTTTCATCTCATAGAGACATCACTTGGGAATGTAACCAGTATAGATACACATGGTAGCGGCTAAATTTTAATTCTTAGGAGGTCCAAAAACTGAGGTAAGGGTAGTATAGAATTTTAGTATAAGTTTAAACTCTTAGAAGTTCAGGGCATATAAATGTTGAAAATATGCCGCACAGCCCTATATTTTGACCTTTGAATAAAATAGTAGTGCATATAAACTTTCCGTTCTGGGATATTATTTTTCACGAAACTTCATAGTAAAAGTGTCACAGTTTTAGCCGCAAAGGGAGTTCCTATGGGAAATTGCATTGTCTGTATTTACAGAATTGCAACCTATATAGGGTTAAAAAATAGAACATACAGAATTTCACAAAATCTGGTTTATCTCAGAGATTTTAAAGAATTTAACTCAAATATGAAGTTTTATAAATATTTCATGAAGATTGAGAAAATCCTGGGCCTTAACTATGATGACTCAGCATAAATTCACAGTTTAAAGTATGCATGGTTTACTTAAAGCCCTGAATTCAAAATAAATTCATAATATATGCCTATTTGTAATTTAAATTGTTTAGAAGTGCTTATATTTACTCTTCGCAGTAATTGCAACTCATTGATCCTTCCTAAATATTTCTGGTGGGGTGTTTTTGTCCTGTCGATAACCCAAAAGTAAGCCGTAACGCCTAAATGTGCTTTTTTGTGACTGCGGCATAAAAAAGTATAAGCTAGAATTACAAAAAGACCTCAGTAAAACTTACAATAGTGTTTTCTATCCTAAATATGTAGTAAATATTTCACATTGCTAGAAACAGGGAAAAAAATTAGGAAATGTGAGGCCCCAGGGGCAAAAAACAGAGGAAAATGCCTACCCTTGAGTCATAAAACAGATAATTTAACTTGTAAATGCTATGATTTTTTTATTTTAAAGGTCTTTTATAAAGTAAACAATAACTGTGCTAGGAAGTTATGCAAAAATCAGATGTAAGCAGTCATTTCAATCAAACTTTTAGTGAATTTATGCACCAGACTGATATCTTCATAAATACAACTTTTGCAAATATGCCTTTGTTTAAACACTTCTAGGACATATATTAACTAACTTATGTTAGATATATGGTTAGGGATGATACTGTTGTGACAAGAATTCTAAACTGACCATTTGAGGCAGAAATTGTGAACTTTCATTGACAAATAGGCATACATTAAGATGTGGACTGGAGACACAGGCAGGATTGGATACTTTGTATAATCTTGAATGTTGGAATGCTTAACTACTAAACAAAACATTTATAGTATTCTAAAATGCTTTCAATTTGTTATCAGAATAGTTTCAAACAAGTTTTAGACAGTTCATGTCAGAAAACATGCACATAGGGTAAGCTGGCAATAATAAGAGTCTTGTTTTCAAAATCTTTAAAAAATTGAAACAGGGGTAGGGGTATAAAATGTACTGTAAAAGGAGACTTAGAGTATATGTAGTGATTTCTTTAAGGCTATAATTCTGATAAATAAGTATTGTTGTGAGAAAAAGTGTTTTTAGAGAGTTTTCTATTTGAATAAATGTTTGTATAGGTTGCACTTTGTAAATACAGCTGTTTCTCAAACCACGCCTCTTTTGGGGAGATATTTAATATTCATAGGTATGTTAATTTGTTAACGTACTGGTTCCCATTGATGATCTCTGTGTTTCATCTCATAGAGACATCACTTGGGAATGTAACCAGTATAGATACACATGGTAGCGGCTAAATTTTAATTCTTAGGAGGTCCAAAAACTGAGGTAAGGGTAGTATAGAATTTTAGTATAAGTTTAAACTCTTAGAAGTTCAGGGCATATAAATGTTGAAAATATGCCGCACAGCCCTATATTTTGACCTTTGAATAAAATAGTAGTGCATATAAACTTTCCGTTCTGGGATATTATTTTTCACGAAACTTCATAGTAAAAGTGTCACAGTTTTAGCCGCAAAGGGAGTTCCTATGGGAAATTGCATTGTCTGTATTTACAGAATTGCAACCTATACTTATTTGTACTATAATAGAAACCACCCACCTACTATCAATGTATTTCAGTAATAATTAACTTAATTTCTATTATCTTATACTACTGTGGATTCATTTACTTTCGTGAGTATAACTTTTCCTGGACTGAGGGAAAATCATATTTTTGTGGATATTTGATTTTATCGTTTTTCCTACAAACAAGCATATAGAAAATTTGTACTACAGTGAACATTTTAATTCTCGGCTCTCTTTTACCCAGGAAATCCATGAAAATTGGTATCCCATGAATAACAATAATTTGATTTGATTTGTTTTTTGGTGTTTATACGCCACTTTTAAGCACCACTTTTTGGGCTATTTCGTGGCGGTCAGTTTTTATTGGTGGAGGAAGCCGGAGTGCCCAGAGAAAACCACCGACCTTCGATAGGAAAACTGACAATCCTAGTCAATTAAGATTGGAGTTGAGTGCACCGGCAAGAGCGGGGTTCTAACTCACAACCTCAGTGTTGACTGGCTAGAGATTACTGTAGTAACTACTTAGACCACTCGGCCACCGAGGCCCCTTGAATAATAATAAATCGACAGTATCAGAGTTCTGATTGGTTATCCTTTACCAAAAGTACATTCATTTTAAATTATAACTTTTAACAAATTTTGGATGAACCATTGTAACTATTGCAATAATGTTTATATATTACTAAACAAGAAAAGTTTATCAGGTTTATTCAACATAAGCAAGCCAAAATGTTATATATGTATATTTAAACAATATAAATAAACCACTTGCATGAATCTGTGTTAATATTACACATCTCAGAAAGCAACTTTGACCATTTGCTTGAAAAAGTAAATAATTAACTCACATCCACACACGAAAAAGCTGATTTTAATGAAATAAAAATCATAATGCTTTTTGTGTGGGCTATTCTAGTATCTTAATATAAAGACTGAACAGCACTTTTTCATAACCATTCCCTTTAAAATGTTACCGTAATAGCAAATGAATTTATATAAAGTTGTAATTTAAGTCCTGAATCCCCATCACCAATGTTTATTTTTTCTAAAATGTTGTCCAAGTCCCATACAAATCTTCCTAACATAGCTCTATTGGAATATCTACTCCCACTTAGTACAATAATTTGATGTATAAAAGTATCAAAATGATATGTGTTTTCCTTTGGTTCACCTATGTACAATTTGAGCCTAATCATTCACTACAACAAAACCTTATGAATCAAATAGCTATGAGACTAGTTATATTGTTAATTCCAGCACCAGATTAGCAAAGTTTTAAACCCCACAATTGATAAAAAAAATTCAGACAGGCCATCATCTCATGTCTCTAATATACTATGATGAGAATTATTTCAACCCTAAGTTCAAAATTAAGGATAAGATATTCTTCACTTTTCCACTTAACTCCCAATATCACAGACAGTGCGAGGTAAAATAAGACCACCTTTCATTCAGGTTATTCCCCTATGCTTCAAATAATTCTCTTTGAGCTCTGTAGGTCCATTTTGAGGGCTTTTGTCACACAAATTATTTACTGTTTGTTTTGATTTACACAGGTTTAACTGTCAGTTACAGACAAATTTAATGCTGTCTTCTGGAAAATTATCATTATATCACTCTATAAATAAATGCAAACTTATGAATTAACAATTTGTAATTAACAAGTTGGCATTTATAGTCCTATTGTTACTGTCGTTTAATGCTGTTTTTCTGACTTTTTCATCCCATTGGTTGTCAGTGACTTAGTCATCCCATTCATCATCATCGTCCATATCATCTTCATCTTCATCTTCATCTTCTGTAAAAGTAAATATTAAGAATTTTTCATTACAGTTTTTTGTTTAACTCTTAAACTTTGAAAACAACTTTCCATAATAAAATGAAGCAAATTTTAAATATATTAAAATACTAATTTATGAAAAATTTTGATGTGTCTTCTGCCTACTTGTGAATTTCTTCAGTTACCGTTATATTTTGATTTAAATCAATGTCATTCTTGTAAGGCAGAAAAAAGTCCTGCCGCCTGACGAAACCTATATAATGTTTCTACTTATATATCCCTGGTTTTCAAATGCTTTAGTATGAATTTTCCTGATGAAGGTAAATCCAGAAAACTGCTGTGTATTCCAAAAATTTATAAAGTTTTATTTTCATTCATTCATAATAAGTAAATGTGATTTTTTGGATAATATCAAACATATGATGGCTGATACTTTTTTTTGTTTGAATTATTAGAGTTTTAAAACACCCTTACCAGACATCTGTAATACTTTCTGTCTGTTAGCCAATGCCATTGCTAAAGCACCTACAATACCTCCTCCTTGGCCTGGATCAGACTCAGGTTTGTCCTCTTTTTCTACCTATTTTTTGTTAATCAAAAGTGTTCAATTATGGTCATTGCAAATAGAACATTGAACCATTGCTTTCATAGCAAAATAATCTTCTTTTTTTTTTATTACTGATCAGTTCAATTTATGCTTTATGGGGATTTGTTTTAAATATTACAAATAGAAATCAATACAACATAACATCCGATCATAACTCAGACAAGATTTCCTAAAATTTACCCAAATGGCCAATTCATGTTCAATATTTTCATTCAGAAAAAAAATGGTTCGAATGATGTGTTCAAAACAATTAAAAAAAATCATACATGTCAATGTTTACAAGTTTTTTTTGTAAATTTTCAGTTCTTATTATGCCTTAAGTTAGAAATGGAATTGAAAATACAAGTGAAAATGTCTGTTGGTTTACAAAAAAATTTATTATCCTGTGAATGGATTCTGAATGAATGGACCAACATACATTTAATTTTGATTTTGATTTTTACTTGGCAAAGATTTTGCACAGATTTTAAATCTTTGCAATGGGTAAAGACATATTCTTCCCTGTAAAATCTAACAAGAGTGCACATGCTGAAATGTCTCGCCTACTATACTGACCACTGATTTTATGTTGATAGTCCTAAATATAAAGTTTTACTACAAGTATCACATTAACATTTATGATCCAAGAAATTGAGATCAAAGTCAGATAAACCAAGCCGGAAATACATGTACACCTTTCATACAATCATTCCATACACCGAATATAGATGACCTATTGCTTATAGTATAAAAGAATCTGACCAAATCATGGATATTATATATTGACCAATGAACCATGAAAATGAGGTCAAAGTCAGATGATACCTGCCAGACAGACATATACATTTACAATCATTCCATACACCAAATATAGTTGAACTATTGCTTAAAGTTTAAGAAAAACAGACCAAAACACAAAAACTTAACATTGAGCAATGAACCATGAAATTGAGGTCAAGGTCAAATAAAACCTCCCAGACTGACATGTACATCGTAAAATATTTCCATACACCAAATAAAGTTGACCTATTGCATACAGTATTAAAAAAAAAGACCAAAACACAACAAGAGTGCACACGCTGAAATGTCTCGCCTTCTTTACTAATCATTGATATTATGTTGATAGTCCTAAATATAAAGCTTTATTACAACTGTCACATAAACTTAACATTAACCAAGTAAACTAAACATTGACCAATGAACCATGAAAATGAGGTCAAGGTCAGATGAACCATGCTAGGCAGGCATGTACAGCTAACAATTCTTCCATACAACAAATAGAGTTGACCTATTGCTTATAGTTTAAGAAAAACAGACCAAAACACAAAAACTTAACACTGAGCAATGAACCTTGAAAATGAGGTCAAGGTCAGATAAAACCTGTGTGACTGCCAAATAGATCATAAAATATTTCCATACACCAAATATAGTTGAACTATTGCATATAGTATAAAAACACAAAAACTTAACTATAACCACTGAACCATGAAAATGAGGTCAAGGTCAGATGACACCTGCCAGTTGGACATGTACACCTTACAGTCCTTCCATACACCGAATATACTAGACCTATTGCTTATAGTATCTGAGATATGGACTTGACCACCAAAACTTAACCTTGTTCATTGATCCATGAAATGAGGTCGAGGTCAAGTGAAAACTGTCTGACGGGCATGAGGACCTTGCAAGGTACGCACATACCAAATATGTTGAACTATTGCACATAGTATTAGAAAAAAAGACCAAAACTCAAAAACTTAACTTTGACCACTGAACCATGAAAATGAGGTCAAGGTCAGATGACACCTGCCCGCTAGACATGTACACCTTACAATCATTCCATACACCAAATATAGTAGACCTATGGCATACAGTATAAGAAAAACAGACCAAAACACAAAAACTTAACTATAACCACTGAACCATGAAAATGAGGTCAAGGTCAGATGACACCTGCCAGTTGGACATGTACACCTTACAGTCCTTCCATACACCGAATATACTAGACCTATTGCTTATAGTATCTGAGATATGGACTTGACCACCAAAACTTAACCTTGTTCATTGATCCATTAAATGAGGACGAGGTCAAGTGAAAACTGTCTGACGGGCATGAGGACCTTGCAAGGTACGCACATACCAAATATAGTTGAACTATTGCACATAGTATTAGAAAAAAAGACCAAAACTCAAAAACTTAACTTTGACCACTGAACCATGAAAATGAGGTCAAGGTCAGATGACACCTGCCCGCTAGACATGTACACCTTACAATCATTCCATACACCAAATATAGTAGACCTATGGCATACAGTATAAGAAAAACAGACCAAAACACAAAAACTTAACTATAACCACTGAACCATGAAAATGAGGTCAAGGTCAGATGACACCTGCCAGTTGGACATGTACACCTTACAGTCCTTCCATACACCGAATATACTAGACCTATTGCTTATAGTATCTGAGATATGGACTTGACCACCAAAACTTAACCTTGTTCATTGATCCATTAAATGAGGTCGAGGTCAAGTGAAAACTGTCTGACGGGCATGAGGACCTTGCAAGGTACGCACATACCAAATATAGTTGAACTATTGCACATAGTATTAGAAAAAAAGACCAAAACTCAAAAACTTAACTTTGACCACTGAACCATGAAAATGAGGTCAAGGTCAAATGACACCTGCCCGCTAGACATGTACACCTTACAATCATTCCATACACCAAATATAGTAGACCTATGGCATACAGTATAAGAAAAGCAGACCAAAACACAAAAACTTAACTATAACCACTGAACCATGAAAATGAGGTCAAGGTCAGATGACACCTGCCAGTTGGACATGTACACCTTACAGTCCTTCCATACACCGAATATACTAGACCTATTGCTTATAGTATCTGAGATATGGACTTGACCACCAAAACTTAACCTTGTTCACTGATCCATGAAATGAGGTCGAGGTCAAGTGAAAACTGTCTGACGGGCATGAGGACCTTGCAAGGTACGCACATACCAAATATAGTTATCCTATTACTTATAATAAGAGAGAATCTAACATTACAAAAAATCTGAACTTTTTTTTCAAGTAGTCACTGAACCATGAAAATGAGGTCAAGGACATTGGACATGTGACTGACGGAAACTTCGTAACATGAGGCATCCATATACAAAGTATGAAGCATCCAGACCTTCCACCTTCTAAAATATAAAGCTTTTAAGAAGTTAGCTAACGCCGCCGCCGCCGCCGCCGGATCACTATCCCTATGTCGAGCTTTCTGCGACAAAAGTCGCAGGCTCGACAAAAACTTAACTTTTGCCACTGAACCATGAAAATGAGGTCAAGGTCAGATGACACCTGCCAGTTGGACATGTACACCTTAAAATCATTACATACACCAAATATAGTAGACCTATTGCTTATAGTATCTGAGATATGGACTTGACCACGAAAACTTAACCTTGTTCACTGATCCATGAAATGAGGTTGAGGTCAAGTGAAAACTATCTGACAGGCATGAGGTCCTTGCAAGGTGTATATATAGTTATCCTATTACTCATAATAAGAGAGAAATTAACATTACAAAAAACCATAACTTTTTTTTCAAGTATTCACTGAACCATGAAAATGAGGTAAAGGACAATGGACATATAATAGACAGAAACTTCATATCATAAGGCATCTATATACAAAGTATGAAGCATCCAGGTCTTCTACCTTCTGAAATATTAAGTTTTTTAGAAGTTAGTTAAAGCCGACGCCACCACCGGATCACTATCCCTATGTCGAGCTTTCTGCAACAAAATTCACAGGCTTGACAAAAACCACTATCTACATATAAGAGGGAACTGTAGCCTCTGGGGATAGTTTAAGTAATATTGTTTATGTAGCAGTACTTACAGCCTTCAGTGTTTTCCCAGATCTGATGGCATCTAACAAGTTGGACCTTGGATCTCCACCACTACTTCCTCCTCCTCTGGAAGGTCCATCTCCAGCATGCTTGAGTGTAGTTCCTCCTCTGATCGACTCCAGTAATGCTCCTCTACCAACCCCTATTGGTGGTGCACCAGCTGGTGCTGCAGGTGCTGCTGGTGGTGGGGGAGCAGCTGGTGGTGCTGGAGGGGGTGGTGGTGGAGGTATTCCTGGAGTAGGGGCTGGCAGGGGTGCCCCTTTAGATGACTGAGGTGGAGGTTGTGGAGGTGCATGGAACGATGGTGGTGGTGGAGGTTGGCCAATTTGTCTAGCTGGTGTTGGTGGTGGAGGAAGGTGTGTCCTATTTGGAGGAGGTGGTGGTCCACCCCTTTGAGGTGGAGGAGGACCAGTCCTAGCTGGTGGTGGTGGTGGTGGGCCACCTGATCTGGGTGGAGGAGGCTGTATTGGTGCACCTGAAATAACAAAATTACACAGAATTTGTAGTCGACATCATATTAGAATGGAACACAATGTATAAAGGAAAGATTAAGGGTAAAATATACAGTAACTGTTATGTATTCACAATAAACAGTGTTTTACCCAGGGCCTTATAGCACCATGGTACCATATTGCTATCTGACAGAATGTACAAGTATCATAAATACGGTGCTTTAATTTCAGGGAAACAGTACTATTTCAAATACTTGGGTGAACAGTGAACTAAATACAAATAACCAATCTCACATATTGAAAAATACTCTGTATTTATAAGTTAGTATGCTTTTAATACAAAATGTTCGAAAAAATAAAGAACATTGCCAATAACTACGTCTATTTATCACATGTATCAGAAAAATATGAAAAATAAAATATGAAATAAAACATTTTTTCTCCAGATGCTATTTCTTGATCATAAAAAAGCTTCTGTCCAAGTTCCATAACATTCCATGAGGGTTTGCAAAGTAATTGATGTCTAAAAAACTGAACCCAAGACTGCATGTAAAGAATCTTGGAAATATACTTAGTCCTTTTATCAATAAAATACGAAAAAATGAATGAAAAATAAATGGGGAATGTGTCTATGGGACACAGATGATGCCCCCGCTTGCTTATATTGTTATAAAGGGATATAACTCAAGAACTGTAAAAGTGACGCTACCCAAATTTGTACTTGATCTGAGTTTTGTGGTAATAAGCATTATGTATACGTTTCATAACATTTGGTTGAGACAAACTAAAGTAAGAGAACAGAAACAAAAAATTCAGCAATTTTTCAATTTGTAGAGGGGCATAACTCTAGAACAGCAAAAGTGATGCCACCAAAATTCAAACTTGATCTGTGTTTTGTGGTAATTAGCATTGTGTATAAGTTTCATAACATTTAGTTGAGGCAAACTAAAGTAAGAGAATGGAAACGAAAAATTCAGCAATTTTTCCATCTGTAGAGGAGCATAACTCTAGAACGGCACCAAAATTCAAACTTGATCTGTGTTTTGTGGTTATAAGCATTGTGTATAAGTTTCATAACATTTGGTTGAGGCAAACTAAAGTCAAAGAATGGAAATGAAAAATTCAGCAAATTTACCATTTATAAAGGAGCATAACTGTAGAACAGTAAAAGTGATGCCACCAAAATTCAAACTTGATCTGTGTTTTGTGGTAATAAGCATTGTGTATAAGTTTCATAACATTTGGTTGAGGCAAACTGAAGTAAGAGAACAGAAACAAAAAATTTAGCCATTTTTCCATTTGTACAGGGGTAAACTTTAGAAGGTTAAAGTGATGCCACAAAAATTCAAACTTGATCTGTGTTTTGTGGTAATTAGCATTGTGTATAAGTTTCATAACATTTGGTTGACGAAACTAAAGTTAGAGAACGGAAACCAATTTTGGGACGTACATACGGACGGACAAGGGTAAAACTTAATGCCCCCTCCGCTATGGCGGGGGCATAAAAAAATATGTTTCGAAATTTTCTCTGGCTTATGTCTTTTGATCATTAAAAATTTGTCCAAGTTTCCTAAAATTCCAAATAGGTTTGACAAAGTTATTGATGTCTCAAAAAACTTACTATAGACTGAACCTAAATGTTAATGATGCCATCCAAATGTAGGATTGCTATGTCTGTACTTTGCATGCTCAACAAAAATTAACAATAATGAACATGTCTATGTGTCTTGGTTTTAATAATGGAAACAGACAATCATAACTTAGTAGTACAATTAATGGGTATGTACTTCATCTTGATCATGCTAAATGATAAAAACAGTAAATAATTAAGGGTACCATCAACTCATTGAATTCCACCCTTTGACTGGTTTTCTTGTCAGAGCAAGAGATATCAATGTTTTGGTTGGTACGTGTAAAACAACAAAAACTTCAATCAACAATTCAATAAGATGAAACAAACAAAATGGCAATGCAACTTTCTGAAATACATACTGCTTGATTTCCTTTGACCTGGGGACACTTCTTCTCTTGGACTCTTGCCTAAGTGGAAAATTTATTTCTTATACAAGAGTACTACTTTGCAGTGCTATGTCATATCATTATAGACAAGAATAAAAAAAGTGTCAGCTTGTTAATTCATGTACACTTATTTCTTACTGCAATAAACTATTTAATCTAAAATATTCCATAAATAAAATGCTTCGCTGGGGCGCAGCTTGATACGACCGCAGAGGTCGAACCCTGAACAGTTGGGTCAAGTATGGACACAAAATTCAAGCTTGATACAGCTATGACTTTGGATTGTCATTAAATATTTGACACAGCATAGGTTTCTGACACAGGATGAATGTGGTGTAAGAACTGGAAAAAATTTAATTTACCTATTATGGTGGAATCTCCATAAACTAAATTGTTTGTTAATTTCAATATATCAAAGAATATGTAGAATTCAATGTTTGATGTAATGTAATAAAGTTGAAATTTGGACCGTTTTTGTTCAATGTGGACCAATTTGGTAACATGTATAAATAATCAAAAATCTAAATACATGGGAGCCCATTTAAATACATCATAAAGGTATTAAAATAGAAAGTGACATCATAGTCATGGCTAAAAATAAACAAAAATCCTTAATCAGCAACATTTAAAGTAATATCTAAAAATAAAATTCCTTTGTAACCATAAAAGCCCATTTAAATACATCATAAAGATATTAAAATAGAAAATGACATCATAGTCATGGCTAAACATAGCAAAAAACCCTTAATCAGCATCATTTAACAGTAATATCTAAAAATGGAAATTACATCATAAAGGTATTAAAATAGAAAATGACATCATAGTCATGGCTAAAATTAAACAAAATCCTTAATCAGCATCAGCAACATTTTATAGTAATATCTAAAAATAAAATTCCTTTGTAACCATAAAAGCCCATTTAAATACATCATAACAGATATTAAAATAGAAAATGACATCATAGTCATGGCTAAACATAGCAAAAACCTTAATCAGCATCATTTAACAGTAATATCTAAAAATAAAAATTTCTTTGCAACCATAAAAGTAAAATAGAAAATGACATCATAATCATAGCTAAAAATAAACAAAAATTTTTTTTATTGGCAAATTTTAAATGGAGTTTATTATACTAAAACAATAAATTTGCAACCATAAACATGATAAAACCCCATTTAAACACATCATAAAAGTATTAAATAATTCAACTACATCATAAGGCTATAAAAATAGAAAGTGACTTCATAGTCAAGGCTAAAGGTAAACAAAAAACCTTCATCAGCAAAATTTTATATTGGCAAATTTCCAATGAAGTTTATTACACTAAAATTGTTGGCAAATTTCCAATGCATTTATTAACAATAAAGTTATTGGCAAATTTCCAATTTACATAATTTAAAAGCAGTGTAGATGAGATATTTAAATGAGTTTGAATTACCAACCTTACACTGCTTTTAAATAATGTTCTTTACTCAATTATTTGTCTATTAAAATGGAAACCCTTGTTTTTTAACCTTTTTTCCCCTTATTCCTTAAACATTAGAGCACACTAAAAAAATCCTTATTTTCGACCAATATTTGGCCCCTTATTCATAAATGTTTGAGCAATTAACCCCAAAACTCAATTCCTACTTTCTCTTCGTGATAAAAAATAACTAACTTAAAATGTAAATTTTAAACAAAAAAAAAAGGAAAAAAAAAAATTACCCCTTTTTTGACCCCCACCCCCCTTATGATTCATCACCCCCACCCCCCTTTCCCCCCAAACCAAGCTCAATAACAGCCTTGCCTTTGTGGTATGGTACCTTGTAATACAATTTTAGAGAGATCTATACACTTGAACACAAGTTATTGTCTAGAAACTAAAAAATGCTTATTTTAAACCCCTTTTTAGGCCCCTTATTACTAAAAGTTTTGGGCAATTACCACAACACTCAATTCCAGCTTTCCCTTTGTGAAATGGAACCTTGTAGTAAAATTTCAGAAAGATCCATACACTTACACACAAGTTATTGTCATGAAACTAGAAAAATGCTTGTTTTTTGCCCCCTTTTGGCCCCTTATTCCTAAAATTTTGAGGCAATTAACCCCAAAATCAATCCCAGCATTGACCCTTTGTGATATGGAATCTTGTGGTACAATGTCAAAGAGATCCATATGCTAACACACAAGTTATGTCTGGAAGTTACAAAAATGCTTATTTTCGGCCCCTTTTTGGCCCCTAATTCCTTAACTGTTGGTACCATAACCCCCAAAATCAATCCCCACCTTCCTATTGTGGTATTGAACCTTATGGTAAAATTTCATAGAGATCCATTCACTTAAACTAAAGTTAGAGTGCGAAAACCATTGTGTATTCGGACGACGACGCCGGACGACGACGACGACGACGACGCCAACGTCATACCAATATACGACCTCAAAATTTTTTTGCGGTAGTATAAAAACAGGAAACAGTTTTCAAATCAAAATCAATAGGGATATTCCTCTTATCATGTGACCATATACCAATGTATATTTACTTCCCAATATAAAGTATGTGAGGTAACATCCAGAAACCAAGTTGACTGACAGACTAACTGACAGGTCAACAACTATATAAATATTTACCCCTCAACCCTGCTACTTAGTACTGTGGGATATAAGTCAAGAAATCTATGCATTTTGAACTAGGTTCAAAAATATTTCCAAATGAGTTTGTATGTTTGAGGATAACATAGTCCAAATAAAATTTACAAAGGGTTTCAACTTCCAGGGAACCCTGTCTCTTGTCTACAATTACTGTTGTTAGCCTAAAAATGTAATGTTGACTGCCAAAAACTATCTTTCAGTAAAAAACAGAAGAAAAAAAAGATAACTTGTTTTTTCTTGTTTATGAAGAAGCTTCTGTCCAAGTCTGTAACATACCACGAACATTTACAAAGTTATTGATGTCTAATAAAATTCTTTAACCCAAGACTGTATGTAAATGTTACCTGCAAAACAACTTAATCTTTTTATCAGACAAATATGAAAAAAAAAGATTTTCTCTAGATTCTGATCATAATAAAAGCTTCTGTTGATGTTTCCTTAAATTCCATGAAGGTTTGACAAAGTTATTTTGTCTAAAAATTGCCATCTGAATGTAGGATTTACATATCTTGCTAAGTTACAGGATCAACAAAAATATACATGTCTATGAGTTTTGGGTTAAAAAAAAATAAGACACATTCATAACCTAGAAGTACAAATTATGGGTATGTACTGCATCTTGATCATGATAAATAAAAAAAAACAGTAAATAATTAGGTGTACCATATCTTCATTGAATTCCACTCTCTAACTAGTCCTTTTGTCAAAGCAAGAGATATCAATTTTTGGTTGGTACATGTAAAATAACAAAAACTTCAATCAACAATTCAACAACATAACAAACAAAAAGTCAATGCAACTTTCTGAAATACATACTGCTTGATTTCCTTTGACCTGGGGACATTTCTTCTCTTTGACTCTTGCCTAAGTGAAAAATTTATTTCTTATACAAGAGTACTACTTTGCAGTGCTATGTCATATCATTATAGACAAGAATAAAAAAAAACTGTCAGCTTGTTAATTCATGTACACTTATTTCATACTGCAATAAACTCTTTCATCTAAAATATCCCATAAAAAACAGGAAACAGTTTTCAAATCAAAATCAATAGGGATATTCCTCTTATCATGTGACCATATACCAATGTATATTTACTTCCCAATATAAAGTATGTGAGGTAACATCCAGAAACCAAGTTGACAGACAGACTAACTGACAGGTCAACAACTATATAAATATATACCCCTCAACCCTGATACTTAGTAGTGTGGGATTTAAGTCAAGAAATCTATGCATTTTAACTAGGTTCAAAAATATTTCCAAATGAGTATGTATGTTTGAGGATAACATAGTCCAAATAAAATTTACAAAGGGTTTCAACTTCCAGGGAACCCTGTCTCTTGTCTACAATTGCTGTTGTTAGCGTAAAGATGTAATGTTGACTGCCAAAAACTATCTTTCAGTAAAATACAGAAGAAAAAAAAGATAAGATAACTTTTTTTTCTTGATTATTAAGAAGTTTCTGTCCAAGTCTGTAACATACCACGAAGATTTACAAAGTTATTGATGTCTAATAAAATTCTTTAACCCAAGACTGTATGTAAATGTTACCTGCAAAACAACTTAAAAGAGGGACGAAAGATACCAGAGGGACAGTCAAACTCATAGATCGAAAACAAACTGACAACACCATGGCCAAAAATAAAAAGACAAACAGACAAATAATAGTACAGATGACACAACATAGAAAACTAAAGACTAAGCAACACCAACCCTACCAAAAACTGGGGGTGATCTCAGGTTCTCCGGAAGGGTAAGAAGATCCTGCTCCACATGTGGCACCCGTCGTGTTGCTTATGTTATTACAAATCCGGTAAATAGTCTTAACTCGGTAAGTCACATTCGTGAAAAGGGAAGGGTATTGTAGTTATGACATAAGGAACATATCCGATATAATTTGTGAAACGGTTATTCCATAACGGTCAACCAACTCATGATGGCGTCCGTAAAATTTACGAAGGGATGATTTCAACTTCACCATTTGGAACTCTTGGTTTAATAGCTTCCTTGTGAGCAGCAATCCTCTATCAAGGAAATCATGATAGGAAACACAAGCCCAGGAATATCGTATCAATTGGGAGATATATACTTCGTATGCAGGCACTGCTGGAATGTTGCTACATAGAAATGGAAAGTTCACAATTGGGAAGCTGAAATCATCTCTTTTGTCGTAAAGTTTTGTTTTCAACCGACCCTCATTGTCAATTTCTAGATGTAATTTCTCAAGATATGAGGCAGACTTAACTGTATCTGTAGTATCCTTTATAATCTTTTTATCAGACAAATATGAAAAAAAAAGATTTTCTCTAGATTCTGATCATAATAAAAGCTTCTGTTGATGTTTCCTTAAATTCCATGAAGGTTTGACAAAGTTATTTTGTCTAAAAATTGCCATCTGAATGTAGGATTTACATATCTTGCTAAGTTACAGGATCAACAAAAATATACATGTCTATGAATTTTGGGTTAAAAAAAAATAAGACACATTCGTAACCTAGAAGTACAAATAATGGGTATGTACTGCATCTTGATCATGCTAAATAAAAAAAACAGTAAATAATTAGGTGTACCATATCTTTATTGAATTCCACTCTCTAACTAGTCCTTTTGTCAAAGCAAGAGTTATCAATGTTTTGGTTGGTACATGTAAAATAACAAAAACTTCAATCAACAATTCAACAACATAACAAACAAAAAGGCAATGCAACTTTCTGAAATACATACTGCTTGATTTCCTTTGACCTGGGGACATTTCTTCTCTTTGACTCTTGCCTAAGTGAAAAATTAATATCTTACACAAGAGTATTACTTTGGGGTGAAATGACTTATCTTCATAGAGAAGAATAAAAACTGGCAGCATGTTAATTTATGTACACTTAATTCATACTGCAATTTACTCTTTCTTATAAAATATCTCATAAAAATATGAAACAGTTTACAGCTCAAAATCAATAGGGAAATTCCTCTTAATGTGCGACCATATATCAAGGTAAATTTACGAACCAATATAAAGAATGTGAGTTAGCATCCAGAAAACAAAGTAACTGACAGGTCAATAAACTGTTGACACAGAGATATGTCTAGATTTTGTGTTATTTTGATAGCATAATGAACATTTTCAGATAAAAAAATGGCAATATTTCAACATGTAAACTATGCAAAACATTTAAAGTCAATACCCATAGTGTGGGACCAAATAAGATCCAAAGAAATGAAAAATGCCAGTGATTATAAAACAAAATTCCAAATACCACGGACTTATCATAAGTAGATCCTAAACAAAAACTTGTAAACTATGCAAAAGTTTCACAAGAGTGCACATGCTGAAATGTCTCGCCTTCTTCACTAATCATTGATATTATGTTGATAGTCCTAAATATAAAGCTTTATTACAACTGTCACATAAACTTAACATTAACCAAGTAAACTAAATATTGACCAATGAACCATGAAAATGAGGTCAAGGTCAGATGAACCATGCTAGGCAGGCATGTACAGCTAACAATTCTTCCATACAACAAATATAGTTGACCTATTGCTTATAGTTTAAGAAAAACAGACCAAAACACAAAAACTTAACACTGAGCAATAAACCTTGAAAATGAGGTCAATGTCAAATAAAACCTGCATGACTGACATATAGATCATAAAATATTTTCATACACCAAATATAGTTGAACTATTGCATATAGTATTAGAAAAAAGACCAAACTCAAAAACTTAACTTTGACCACTGAACCATGAAAATGAGGTCAAGGTCATATGACACCTGCCGGCTAGACATGTACACCTTACAATCATTCCATACAACAAATATAGTAGACCTATTGCATACAGTATTAGGAAAAAAGACCAAAACACAAAAACTTAACTTTGACCACTGAACCATGAAAATGAGGTCAAGGTCAGATGACACCTGCCAGCTAGACATGTACACCTTAAAATCATTCCATACACCAAATATAGTAGACCTATTGCATGCAGTATTAGAAAAAAAGACCAAAACTCAAAAACTTAACTTTGACCACTGAACCATGAAAATGAGGTCAAGGTCAGATGACACCTGCCAGCTAGACATGTACACCTTACAATCATTCCATACACCAAATATAGTAGACCTATTGCATGCAGTATTAGAAAAAAAGACCAAAACACCAAAACTTAACTTTGACCACTGAACCATGAAAATGAGGTCAAGGTCAGATGACACCTGCCAGCTAGACATGTACACCTTACAATCATTCCATACACCAAATATAGAAGACCTATTGCATACAGTATAAGAAAAACAGACCAAAACACAAAAACTTAACTATAACCACTGAACCATGAAAATGAGGTCAAGGTCAGATGACACCTGCCAATTGGACATGTACACCTTACAGTCCTTCCATACACCGAATATACTAGACCTATTGCTTATAGTATCTGAGATATGGACTTGACCACCAAAACTTAACCTTGTTCACTGATCCATGAAATGAGGTTGAGGTCAAGTGAAAACTGTCTGACGGGCATGAGAACGGGCGTAAGGTACGCACATACCAAATATAGTTATCCTATTACTTATAATAAGAGAGAATTTAACATTACAAAAAATCTTATTTTTTTTTTCAAGTAGTCACTGAACCATGAAAATGAGGTCAAGGACATTGGACATGTGACTGACGGAAACTTCGTAACATGAGGCATCCATATACAAAGTATGAAGCATCCAGATCTTCCACCCTCTAAAATATTTTAAGAAGTTAGCTAACGCCGCCGCCGCCGCTGGATCACTATCCCTATGTCGAGCTTTCTGCGACAAAAGTCGCAGGCTCGACAAAAATCAATGAACCATGATGAGGGGGCTTGGCAATATGATCTCCATGGAAATGAGACTTGCAAATACTTTTACAACTGCATACCAAATATCATTGACTTAACAACCTTTTTTGTTGGCTTCTTTGTTAGATAAATTTGAATGTTTGTTTGAATTTATTAGTCAATTGTGTTGTATGTCTGTGATGTACCGGTATGTTTACAAAGTTTTGACTGCTGGATCCCAATTATTGTCACGTTAACCTATTATGTCTGTTTGGGTTGCTTACCCCATTTTGTCAGTATAACCAAACTATAAACAACTGTCATTCAAGTGGGAGGTTTAGCTAGCTATAAAACCAGGTTTAACCCACCATTTTTTTTGGAAAATTTCTGTACCAAGTCAGGAATATGGCAGTTGTTTTTCACTTGTTCCATTGATTGATAGTGTTTGATTTTGTCAATTTTTATGGACTTCCCCTTTGTGAATTTGCCTTGGAGTTCAATATTTTTGTTATACTTTATAAGTGGTTCATCTTAAACTGGCGTAATCACAAACTTTAACATGTAGACTATGCAAAACATTCAAGTCAATAGACCATGACTGAGGGGGCAGAGCAAAATAATCTCCATGGAAATGAGATGTGACAAGACAATGATAATACATCTGCATACCAAATATCATTGACCTTGTACCACTAATAGTTCCCTTTAAACCTAATCACAAACTTTTAGAAATTGTTGATGCTGCCAGAAACAGCATTGATAAGCCTCACTTTTTGACTCCACCAAGTGGATATAAAAATAAATGTTTCTATGTGTATTGGGTTTGATAATAAAAAAACAAGACAATCATAACTTGATAGTACAAATTATGGGTACATACTGTATCAGGATCATGCTGAATGAAAAAAATAAAACCAGTAAATAACAAAATTATACTAGTAAATAATAAGTTGTACCAACAACTCAACAAAATAAAAGCAGTAAATAATTAGGTGTACCATCAACTCAACAAAATAAAACCAGTAAATAATTAGGTGTACCATCAACTCAACAAAATAAAACCTGTAAATAATTAGGTGTACCATCAACTCAACAAAATAAAACCTGTAAATAATAAGGTGTACCATCAACTCAACAAAATAAAACCAGTAAATAATTAGGTGTACCATCAACTCAACAAAATAAAACCTGTAAATAATTAGGTGTACCATCAACTCAACAAAATAAAACCTGTAAATAATTAGGTGTACCATCAACTCAACAAAATAAAACCTGTAAATAATTAGGTGTACCATCAACTCAACAAAATAAAACCTGTAAATAATTAGGTGTACCATCAACTCAACAAAATAAAAGCAGGAAATAATTAGGTGTACCATCAACTCAACAGAATAAAACCTGTAAATAATTAGGTGTACCATCAACTCAACAAAATAAAACTAAATAATTAGGTGTACCATCAACTCATTGAATTCCACTCTCTAACTAGTTCTTGGTCAAAGCAAGATATATCAATGTTTTGGTTGGTACTTTTAAAACAACAATATCTACAATCAACAATTCAATAATATGAAACAAACAAAAAGGCAATGCAACTTTCTGAAATACATACTGCTTGATTTCCTTTGACCTGGGGACATTTCTTCTCTTGGACTCTTGCCTAAGTAAAAAATTTATTTCTTATACAAGAGTACTACTTTGCAGTGCTATGACTTATGTTCATAGAGAAGAATAAAAGCTGGCAGCATGCTAATTTATGTACATAGAGAAGAATAAAAGCTGGCAGCATGCTAATTTATGTACACTTATTTCATCCTGAAATTAACTCAATCATTTAAAATACCCCTCTAAAAATATAAAACAGTTTTCAGCTAAAGATCAATAAGGATCTTCCTGTTATCATATGTGACCATATCCTCAAGTAAGGTTGCTATCCAATATAATGTATGTTAGTAAGTATCAGGAATCCAAAATGACTGACAGGTCAAAACTATTTACATATATACACCCCACCCCCTAGTGTGGGGAATAATAAGGTAAGAAATATATGCATGTTGAACTAAGTTTTAAAATATTTCAAATGAGTATTCTTAGGATAAAACCCTCCATAAAAATTTGGAAAGGGTTAAAAAGAACCCGTGTCTTGCCTGTTTGGCTGTCATTGTAAAAATGTAATGTTGACTGCCACAAAATATGTCCATTTATCAGTAAAATATGGGAAAAAAAATAAAATAAATGGGACACAGATGATGCCCCCGCTTGCATATCATATAAAGTTATAAAGGGGCATAGCTCTAGAACAGTAAAAATGACACCCATCAAAATTCAAACTTGATCTGTGTTTTGTGGTAATAAGCATTGTGTATAAGTTTCATAACATTTGGTTGAGGCAAACTAAAGTTAGAGAATGAATAAAAAAAATTCAGCAATTTTTCCATTTGTAAAGAGGCATAACTCTAGAACGGTTAAAGTGACGCCACCAAAATTCAATCTTGATCTGTGTTTTGTGGTAATAAGCATTGTGTATAAGTTTCATTTATATTTGGTTGAGGCAAACTAAAGTTAGAGAACGGAAACGAAAAATTCAGCAATTTTTCCATTTGTAAAGGGGCATTACTCTAGAACAGTTAAACTGACGCCACCAAAATTCAAACTTGATCTGTGTTTTGTGGTAATAAGCATTGTGTATAAGTTTCATAACATTTGGTTGAGGCAAACTTAAGTTAGAGAACGGAAACCAATTTTGGGACGTACGTACAGACGGACAAGGGTAAAACTTAATGCCTCCTCCGCTATGGCGGGGGCATAAAAATGTCAAACAACAAAAACTTCAATCAACAATTCAATAATTTTAAACAAACAAATTGTCAATAAAATTTTCTGATATACATACTGCTTGATTTTGTTTGACCTCCTGGAGATATTTCTTCTCTTGGACTCTTGCCTTAGTGAAAAATGTATTTCTTATACAAGAATACTACTTAATTAGTAATGCTAAGACTTATCTTCATAGAAAAGAATAACAAGAGTTCACACACTGAAATGTCTTGCCTTCTTTACTAACCATTGATATTATGTTGATAGTCCTAAATATAAAGCTTTACTACAACTATCACATAAACTTAACATGATCCAAGAAAATGAGGTCAAGGTCATATAAACCAAACAAGAAATACATGTACACCTTACAATCATTCAATACACTAAATATAGTTGACCTATTGCTTATAGTTTCTAAGAAACAGACTTAACCAAGAAAACTAAACATTGACCAATGAACCATGGAAATGAGGTCAAGGTCAGATGAACCATGCCAGGCAGACATGTACAGCTTACAATCCTTCCATACAACAAATATAGTTGACCTATTGATTATAGTTTTAAAAAAAAACAGACCAAAACATAAAAACTAAACACTGAGCAATGGACTGTGAAAATGAGGTCAAGGTCAAATAAAACCTTGTACGAGGACACAGTTATCGTCCTTCGATTTTCGTTGTCTACAAATATAGTCCCTAGTGTGGACAGTGTATAACTTGCAAATTTTTTTCATACACTTTCCAAATTTATTTCTTTATATTTAATGCATGAAATATAAAGTAAGGGGATGAAATTACATGTTAAAAAAATTTGGGTGCTGAATCTTTATGTTTAGTAGTGATTAGGTCCAGTTTAAAAAGGTCAAAAATTAGTATGTCTGAAGCTGTCAAACTGAATTTTAGACCCCCTTAACATAGAATTGTCAATATTTTGAGTTAGAGCTGGTAGACTTTTCTATAATTTTGATATTATTTGTCCCAATAGTAGTACACTACACTGTAAAAATCTTTTTGAGATAGAGCAGGTGCGATTTTTTTAATTTGACTTTATTGTCTAAAAGAAATGCACTACGAAATAACTGTGTTCTCGGGCCACCTGCGAAACTGACATGTACATCATAAAATATTTCCATACGTAAGGTACGCACATACCAAATATAGTTATCCTATTACTTATAATAAGAGAGAATTTAACGTTACAAAAAATATTAACTTTTTTTTCAAGTAGCCACTGAACCATGAAAATGAGGTCAAGGACATTGGACATGTGACTGACGGAAACTTCGTAACACGAGGCATCTATATACAAAGTATGAAGCATCCAGGTCTTCCACCTTCTAAAATATAAAGCTTTTAAAAAGTTAGCTAATGCCGCCGTCGGATTACTACCCCTATGTCGAGCTTTCTGCGTCAGGCTCAACAAAAACTAAATGGATGTTATTTGAATAGATATAAATCAGTCACCAAAGTTTCATGAAAACTGGTCAAAGCACTTTTGAGCTGTTGTCTGAAAACTGGAAAATCCCCCTTTTTTATGAATAAAATCCAATAACTCGGAAACATAAAATCTAAAATTTATAAAAATCGAAAGGGAGCTCATGTCAATAGATATAAACAATTCACCAAAGTTTCATGCAAATTGGTTAAAGCATTTTTGAGTTATTGTCTAACATGTTGACGACGGACAGACAATGGTATACCATAATACATGTACGTCCCATAAACGGGCGTATAAAAGTCATTCCACACACCAAATATTGATGTCATATTGCTTTTTACACTATGACAGATACAGACCTAATCTCGACACTAAGCACTAACAAATGCACCATGAAAATCACATGTACACTTAACAACAATTCCATGCACCAAATGTGGTTAAGCTATTGTTTACAGTAAAGAAATTTGACCTAATAACAAAACACTTTAAATTGACCAATGTAACATGAAACTGAGGCCAAGGTCAGATGAACCAATCCAGACTAATAAATCTAGACAACATTCTATACACCATAAATTATAGTTGATCTATTTCTTTCAGGATTTGAAAAACAAGACCTAAATATGAAAAATTTAACACATTGACCCATGAATTATGAAAATAAGGTCAAAGTCAGATGAACTCTGAAGGATGGACATGTTCACCATACAATCATTCCATTCACCAAAGAAGTTGACCTATTGCTTAAAGATTCTGAGTAAAAGACCTTATAATGTAAACTAAACATTGAGCTATGAACAATTAAAATGAGATCTAGGTCAGATGAACCAAGCCAGACGGACATGTTCACCTATCAATCATTCCATACACCAAATAAAGCTGACTTCTGAGAAACAGACCTAAATGTGTAATCACTAACCAAGATTACTGATCAATCATCCATGAGATGAGTTCAAGGTCAGGTGACCACTGTCTAACAGACTTGTATACCTTGCAAAGATTATATATACATGTACCACTATTACTCTTAATAAAAGTAAAAATCAACTGAAAAAATTAGACAGTTGCTGGACTATCAAAATGAGGTAAAGGACAATGGACACAAGCCAGACGGAAACTACAGAGCATAGGATATCTGTATGCAAGAGTATTCAGGTCTTTAAGCTCCTGAAATTATTCTAAAATATAAAGCTTTATGCAAAGAACTAAAGCTGCTGCCACATCCCTTTGTCTTGCAGGCTAGACTAAAATGAGAGCCATCAACATTTATCTATTTCTTTCCAAAAAAACAACAAGTAAAAGTATACAGCATGTGGACAAAAAACATTCCACTTTCAATATTTTCCCTATTATATAAATCTGCACATTTTAGGAAAAATATACTATTAACTCATTTCTTAACCAATTTTCATCATTAAACTCAGAAAAATTTGACGTTTTTAGGATAATTTTTATTGTGATTTTGTTTAAATCTTCATTTTCAAGAAATCATTTGTTAAACATAAACTTTAAATTTTGTTGATGTCACAAGTGAGTATATGTATATTGTATTATTGTGACATCAGAATTAAAGATTGCAAATTAAACTATGAACTTATGAAGCATAAAAAGGACATTTTTTAGAACAGCAGTGAAATTCATGCAAATCAGAGAAGAAATGAGCTCAAAGTATAATTTTGAAAAATTAATTGATTTACATAAAATACATATTGGGAAAAATTGAAAAGGAATGACTTGTCCACATCCTGTACATATAAGATAAGTTTAAGCCATAAATAAACATCTTGAATATCATTCTTTGGAAAAAGTCATAATCAAAATATGCACCACTGATCAAAAGAAATGGGGACCAAACTTTAGAACAACAAGTAAAAATAACAACATGCAGTCATATAACAAACACTTCAAGTATACTTACGAACATCAGGACTACGTTCTTTAGATCGGTTACGACCTTCAGGACTGCTCTCTACAGAGCGGTACCGACCATCAGGACTAATTTCTATAGAGCGCTTAGGACCTTCAGGTCTACGCTCTATAGGGCGGTTACGACCTTCAGGACTAAGTTCTATAGAACGGATAGGACCTTTAGGGCTTAGTTCTATATAGAAGTAAATATCAATTCATAAACTATGATAGATGTATTAAAATATTATCAACAGAGGCTTTCATTGCTAGAATATATATAAAAGCTTAAACAAAAATTTGAGAATATTTCTCATTGCTTCATGCGTTTTCATCATGCACATCAATGATGTTTATATAAGGGGAAGATGTTTCTCCACCTACTAAATACTTGTGTCACATGGACAATCTGCCACAAGGAATTCTATATTTTGTTTAACTACCTTTGAATCAATTTTGCTAAAATTAAGATCAATTTTTATATTTTTCTCCTTTTTTTCAGTTTGTATGACCAATTCCCCAGTTACTCACCTATATGTAAACATAGAGTCTTTTAGTATTACTGTAAACCAACTAATTTTTTCACAAGCGATTTATTTTCTATAATAGAAAATTAACACAAATATAAATTTTGTGAATATGTACAATTTGGATCTTCCCTTATATGTATAAACATTTTAAATTCATTAGAAAAATTAGAAATTCATGAAAAAATAAATTGCTGTGAAATCGGCAAGACAGGGCTATATGCGAAATTAAGTATTCACAAAAATAAGTTGGTTTACACTTCAGTGTATAAAATTTCAGCCCCTGCTCAATGGATTGAATTGACAAATTATATTTATTACTTACTATGAGATGATGGAGGAGGAGGAGGTTTCTTTTTAATTTCTTCTCTAATTTTCTCTATCCCTCCATGTTGTTCAACAAAATCATAAATAAAATCCACGGTTTCCTTGTCCATATCAGTGGTGTCAGAAATACCAACTTGTTGAAATAATGACTTCATATCATTATCCAAATTATTCATCTGTGATAAAACAGAAAATTCAATGAAAATTTCTTATCTCATAAGCTACTGATTTTTTATATAATAAACAGGTGGCTGTGCACAACTTCACAAAATGAGATTTATATGTGACTTGTTTTCAAGAAGCAGCCAAACTCCATGTATCATTTACTTCAGTTGATTTTGACTTGGCATGACAGTAATATCTATAAAAACACAGAAATTTCTAATCTTTTCAACTTTAGTCTTTCTTTTGTTATTAGTGTTTTAAGTGGTTTTAGAGATGGGCAATGCAGACATGGATGGTATCTATGCATGGGTATTAAAAACTACTGTTCAAAACTAAAATACATGGAAAATAATCAATCTTAAAGTACCATGTCTAACTCTAAAAAGAACATCAACAATAAGTAAGATGAATTTCTGGTATTTCATAGGCTTAACAAATTTTTGTTGCTGTTGTTTAGCATTCATTTTTTTTTACTGGTGAAGCAGACAACTGACAAACTCTTATAGTAAAAAGAGAACACTCAGCAAGTGATTGTAAGTCTTGATCTCATACTGTAGACTGTCTGCACAGTTGTTTTGGGTAAATATGTAAGTCTTGATCTGATACTGTAGACATGACTGTCTGCACAGTTGTTTTCGGTAAATATTCAATTTAAAAGTTAACCAATCAGCCCAAAAGTCTTTTTTTTAACTAATGACGATAAAAAAGTTTACAAATTGTAAATTGAAATTAGATGTAAAATTCACCAAAAGTACAAAGGCTGAGATGACTTGTCTGCTTTACTGATCATAATTGAATTTATGTTGAAAGTCTTTCAGATAAAAGTTTCCTTACAGATCTCACAGAAACTTAATATCATCAATGACCCATGAAAATTAGGCCAAGGTAATATAAACCCCATCAGATGTACATACACCAAATATAGTTGACTTCTGCTTATAGCATCTGAGAAAGGTACCTAATCACAAAAACAGGTGTAAATAAAAAACATTGACCAATGAACCATGAAAATGAGGTCATGGTCTGATGAACCCTATCAGAAGGACATGCACACCTTACAATCATTCATACACCAAATATAGTTGACCTACTTATAATATCGAGAAACAGACCTTATCATGAAAACTTAACCTTAATCACTGATCCATGACAATGAGGACAATTACAATGGACACATGACAAACAGAAACTTCGTAACATAAGGAATCTGTATACAAGGTATGAAGCATCCAAGTCTTCTTCCTTCTGAAATTTAAAGATTGTACAACTGCCGACGCCAAAATAGCATCCCTTTCTCTGGACGACAACAACATAAAAAGAAAATAAAAACCTGTTAAATTGAAGCCATAAATAAACATCTTAAATAGCATTCTTTGGAACAAGTTGTAATTTAAGTATACAATAAATGCACGGATCCAGTCATTTTGAAAAGGAGTTCCAATCACCCCCCAAGAACCCCTGGAACAGCATGAAAGGGGTGATGGGGCTCCAACCCCCAGAACACTCCCCTAGATCTGCTAATGCAATACTGTTTAAAAGAAATGGTGACCAGACTTTTGGTTGTAACTGTAAAAATAACAACATGCAGTCATATTACAAACACTTAACATATACTTACAAACTTCTTGACCAACTTCTTACATTTCTATAGAGTGGTAAATATTTATTTCTAAACTATGATAGATGCGTTAAAATATCAACAACAGAGGCTTTAATAACTACGACAAAATTTCATGTTACTGAAAATTAACAAATTTTTGTGCGCTCTTATTATTGCGTTTTTGAAAAACGGACATACATGGGAGATAAATTATTGTGATTAAAAGATGTGCAGCATACATATAATATCCTAAAATTTTAGTGAGGTTTTATTTTTGCAAAACCTATCCATTTGCAATTTGAATTTTTCTTAATAAAAAGACATTGCACAAATTTCTTATTCAAAGTATATCTTTTACAGGATCTTCTCATTATTTGATGTTATTTCATCGTGAACATAAATTATGTTTTTAACAACGGACAAAGCTTCTCTATACTTGCTTAATGCTAGAATAACCTACTTCAAGGCTATAAATACTTTGTTCATTAACTTCTGAATCTTTTTGTTACATCATTGATTACCAAATTGATTTCACTTCTATCATTTTTTTTCAAGGTTACTTGCCAATATGTATATAATTTGTATGCACTTGCTGAATAATGAAAAATGAGGTCAAGGACAATGGACATATGACAGATGGTTTTGCATGATAAGTAGGCAAAACTAATTGTTTCCTTTAATATTTGACATCTTAATAAACTCACATCAAATCCTTTAGTAGGATCCCAACCAACGTGACTAACATGTCTAAATGCAGTGGGTGTACTAATATCTTCCTTAGTCAGCTTTTTCTTCTTGTCCTTTTTACCTGCTTTACTCTTTCCAATGGTATTTGATCCAGACTTGACATCAATGTTGACAACAGGTGCTTGAGCAGGCACATCTAAACAAAAATCATCAATTAATTACTATGTGTATAAGTCACACCAATATGAAATTTAGGTTAGATGGGTAAAAAAGGAAAATATATATAAAAATTAATTGTAGTATGATTGCAAATGACAACTCTCCACCAGAGACCAAATGACACAAGTTAACAACAATAGGCCATGTTGATTTATTAGTAGATCTAATCTTGCTCGTTATTTTTGCTGCTTACAGTTTCTCCTTAAGAGTTTCAAAAGAAAATTTAGAAATAGTTTATGACAGATGGTAGATGAGTGCAATAGCAACATTTTACAGTTGTACCTGTAAAAAGAAATTTAACCCCAAACAACTGGCCCCATTATTATGTTTATCAAGTGTGTTGTTCTTTAATGTTAGTTTTCATCTGGGTTTCTTGGATAAGATGATTTTTTCAGTGTAGTCTTTAATGGTTGTCAAATATTTTCTAAAATTCTTGTTATTTCATTATATACTCTTATATAAATCAGATGTTGAATATTTGTCAGAAAAGCTAGATTGTAGCATGCCATTGTACATCATTTGGACCTATGATGAACAGCATTGTATTGGTAAATCATAGATTTACAGCATTTTACGAAAGTTCTTTCAAATACTTAAATTTAAACATGTATCTCATGTGTAATTATATACCTTACTTTCACAAAAGTTATTAAGTACAAAACAACTTGTAATTTTATGAATTAAAAAACCTGATTAAAAGTGCATCATTTCTAAATGAACATATAACCTAAAATACAACTACAGACTCCTACTAGCCTGAATCCCTCACCTGGTAAACATACGCCTTTCTGATATTTTTTCCACCTTTATTGTAAATGGTTACGTTTGCTTGCTTATATGTAGATCTTATATAGCTGATTTTTTGCTGTTTTCTTTCCATCTAATATAGCTTTCAAGAAATAAATCAAAGCACTGTAAGCGCTGTAGGCAGTTAACCAAAAACCAAGGCAAACGTAATTATGAAAACTGTGGCAGTGTTGCTTCAATTTTTTTTCAAGATTTGAAAGAACAAACATTAAACATTCGTATATTGTACATTTATGTTTATTTAATGAATTTATTATTAAGGCAAATTAATTAATATTTTATCAAGGTTTTCAAAAGCAACACATATACCAATGTATATTTTTAATGGTGAGTCTGCAGTGGTACAAGTTCGCAATGATTGCAGTTGTTCTAGTTGGTAGTTAACGTTGGTACCAGTTGACTTTCAGTGGTACAAGTTGACGTAGTACGAGTTTATAATAGAATGAATAGACGTGCTTCCCTGGAAGGAACACTGAGTTTGGGTTCTACAGTACAAAAGTTATGAGACACAAATCAGACAAATGTTTTCTTCTACAGGGATCAAAGGTGAGGTCTGACTGACCTGCCCATAGTAAATGTAAATGACCCCCACCTTCACCCCAAGTCCATGATGTCACTCCATACCAAGTTTGGAATAAAATGACAGGTGATTATAAAACAGTTGGTCAAACATTCTTGGGCTAAAATTTACACTGCTTGAAAGATTTATATGTTTTCTTTAAAATGAGCCATAAATGAAAATTTTTATAGGCCCAGAAATAATTCAAAAATAATTAAAGTAAATTCAATTACAGCCGATTTCATTGAGTGTGTAGGCAAAGGTAATATCTTTGGTTAGCTTGCTTGTTAGCTGAACCGTGAAGTCATTATTAGGTTAGGTACATTACCCTCCTTTAAGAGTAGACTAGTCCGACAGATAACCATCTATTTGTCTGTAGGACTAAGCTACTTCGAAAGGAGGGTCGTATACCTTACCTAATAATGACTTCACGGTTCAGCTAGCAAGAAAGCTAACCAAAGATATTACCTTTGCCTACACACTCAATGAAATCGGCTGTAACCTAGACTCATTTTTTGCATCAATAAAATTTTATAATAAACAAGAAATAATTGTAACAGGATGCTGTCACGACGTTTCCTATAATTCGTCATTCCCATGGTCGCCTGACATTGGGCAAAGTCCAGTACACATTGGTTTGGTCTAGTAAAGTGATATGCATATGTGACACCTAGGAGATTGACCCTGTATGTCATTAAAATCTTTTTGAAATGACGAACGTGAATAAATATGGTTTAGGAGTGGGTATCTCGACCGTTCTCAAACAGTAGGGGGTAGGGTGACCCCAGGGACTCCCCTATATTTCATTTGATTTGTTATATTGTCCCATACATGAAAATATATGGTTTAGAGGTGGGAATCTCGACCGTTTACAAGTTCTCAAACAGGAGGGGGTGGGGTGACCCCAGGGACTCCCCCCTGTATTTCATTTGATTTGTTATATTGTCCCATACATGATTATATATGGTTTAGGGGTGGGGAAATCGATCGTTTACAAGTTCTTAAACAGAAGGGGGTGGGTGACACCGGGGACTCCCCCAAATTATTTTCATTTGATTTGTTTTATTGTCCCATACAAGTATATATTTGGTTTAGGGGTGGGGATCACGACCATTCACAAGATAAAAGCACATTTTCAAATTGAAGGGGGTGGGATGACCCCCAGGGACTCACCCTATATTTTATTTGATTTGTTTTATTGTCCTGTTCTCATTACTGAAGACCGCGTGTGTCTATCATTTACTGTTTTCCAGTAATAGTCATTTGAAAATTAAAAAAAATAAAATCCCATAGGGTTCTACAGTAAACCCGTCCCTTCTTTAGACCCCTCAAAATACCCCTAAATAGTCCCCAATGCACAAACGAAAGATTGATGGCTCCGCTAGACATGTTAGTCTTACATTTTATGAAATCCTAAGTAAATCTGACAAGCGGTCCGAGTTGTCTTCTTAGACTGTCCAAGTGGACTTGGTCCGACTTATCTCTGGGACGAGTTGTTCCGCATTTCTTAAAACATCGACCTGATTGGTCGACGTTGATTACGTCGATTTCCGGTACTTTTTCATTCATAAAATAACAACAAGTGTATGTTAAAATTACCGCCAACTTAGACTACTATATATAACTTTATTTCCTCTGTCATAGAGATTTGGTGTACATGAACAATATTCCTGCGCATTTTCCATTTGGGAAATATAAACGACTTGTAATTACAACTTTTCGGCGATGAAATATTTCATACAATTGTTCTTTGACATCTTAGCCAAAAGCACAGGGGATAATAGACTACGTACGGATTTCTATTGAGCACTATTTCCTATGTGCAACTTCAAATATTATGGGTCGTTCGACGATCATTTAAGGTTATTCTGGTCATATTTTTTGTATTCCAGAATTAAAAGTATGAAAAAAATGTAAATTAGTTATAAATAACATATTAGCCTGCTAGATTATAACAATGGCACTTTTTTCAGCATTCGTTGGGAAGAACACAAATCTAGGGTGCTAGCATAAGGCAGCTTAACTGCCTAAAAATCTTATGTTGTACTGTTACAATTGAATTGTTTTACATTTGTCATTTTGGGGCCTTCGATAGCTGATTATGCGGTATGGGCTTTGCTCATTGTTGAAGACCATACAGTGACCAATAGTTGTTAATTTCTGTGTCATTTGGTCTCTTGTGGAGAGTTGTCTCATTGGCAATCTTACCACATCTTCTTATTTCTATATAAAATGGGTAAAATTGTAAATAACTCATACAAGGAGTCAATTCGGCCATGTTGATTTATTTATAGATCTTATCTTGCTGGTTATTTCTGCTGCGTGTAGTTTCTCTTTATGTTTACAAGAGAATTTAAAAATAGTTTATGCCAGATGCAGGTGACATGTGATAGCAACACTTTTCACTGGCTCTCTCATCAAGAGAGGATAAAAATCAGCTGTAGTTTAAACCAATTAAAAAGTTATTAATTCCAACATAGCCCAGGGACACTTTTAGCAAAGTTAAGAACAATTACTACCTATCTTTATTTTTCTGAGATGAAGTTTTTTAAAGTACAGTCAATATTGAAAACTGATGCAAATAGCTTTGCAAAATTGCTCATACTGCTCTGGTCCATAAAAAGTTAAAATGCTACTTACTGTTCATAACAGGGGAACTAGCCTGATGACCATGACTGACTATGGTTGTTTGTTTTTTCCTTTCTGAAAAGAAAATATCATCATTCAAAGACTATCATTTTCTAATAAATATGTTTGTTTAGAAAAAATGCATAAGTTGATATACGTGACATCTTTATGTTATCTCTACAACTGAAAACTAAAAACAAGACTGAATGATAAAAAAGAAAGAATTTATTAAAATTAGCCCTAAAATGTACATTCTGCTTTACAATGCCAAATAAAACACATAAAATGTCCTCTCCTTTTCCTAGGTTACTCTTTAGTCAACATGATATCCATGTTAAGATATTGGTCTAACCAAGGTCTTACTGTAGCTACCCTTACATCTTACATCTTACATCTTTGTCTGTTGGGTAAAATTTCTTTGAACAACACTTTTAAGAAAATGAATGCTTTTTTTTTATTTGTCACCATTTGATTGGTGTTTGTATCCAACCTTTGTGTGTTTGACTACACTACTTCAAACTTGTTATCTTTTAAAACATTAATTATGTGTAAAGTTACCAATTTTTTTCTGATGCCTCTCCAATAATTTCTGTTCAACAGCATTTTTAAATTTTATAGCCTCATCCTCACTAGCAAAGTTCAGACCTGCCTGTACATCCTGTAATAAAAAAAATCATTATTAAGTTAGTATCTTTATACATTTATTAAATATCAAGATATCAAATTGGCAAGTCAGTTGATTCAAGTGAAATATCAATTCTGCATTCACTGCTTTTCTAACCTTAAATAAAATGCTCCGCTGGGCGCAGCTTGATACGAACGCAGAGGTCGAACCCTGAACAGTTGGGGCAAGTATGGACACAACATTCAAGCTTGATACAGCTCTGAATTTGGATTGTGATTAAATATTTGACACAGCATAGGTTTCTGACACAGAATGAATGTGGTGTAAGAACTTAAAATTTTTTAATTTACCTATTATGGTCCAATATCCAAAATCTAAATACATGGTTAGATTCAGCATATCAAAGAATCAAAATATTTCAATTTTTGACGAAATCAAACAAAGTTTAATTTTGGACCCTTTTGACCTCAATGTGGACCAATTTGATAACAGGGCCCAAAAATCAAAATACATGGTTAGATTCAGCATATCAAAGAACCCCATATATTCAATTTTTTTTTAAATCAAACAAAGTTTAATTTTGGACCCCAACTTGGACCAACTTGAAAACTGGGCCCATCATCAAAAATCTAAACACATGTTTAGATTCAGCATATCAAAGAACCCCAAGAATTCAATTTTTGTTAAAATCAAACTAAGTTTAATTTTGGACCCTTTGGACCTTAATGTAGACCAATTTAAAAAACGAAACCCAAAATTAAAAATCTAAATACACTGTTAGATTTAGCATATCAAAGAACCCCAATAAATTCAATTTTTGATGAAATCAAACAAAGTTTAATTTTGGACCCTTTTGACCTCAATATGAACCAATTTGATAGCGGGGCCCAAAAATAAAAATACACGGTTAGATTCAGCATATCAAAGAAACCCCATAAATTCAATTTTTGTTGAAATCAAACAAAGTTTAATTTTGGACCCCAATTTGGACCAACTTGAAAACTGGGCCCAAAATCATAAATCTAAATACATGTTTAGATTCAGCATATCAAAGAATCCCATATATTCAATTTTTGTTAAAATCAAACTAAGTTTAATTTTGGACCCTTTGGACCTTAATGTAGACCAATTTGAAAACTGGGCCCAAAATTAAAAATCTAAATACACGGTCAGATTCGGCATAACAAATAAATAAATGTGGTCAAAGATTTTACAAATCTAATGCGCCATACTGTGCAATTAAAGATTACTTCTTGAAATTTTTCAATATTTGAAATTTGAAAAAAAAAAAATATTTGAAGAATAATTCTTTTTAATTTCTGAAATCTGCTTATTTTTGGCCCCTTTTTGGCCCCTAATTTCCTTAACTGTTGGTACCATAACCCCAAAAATCAATCCCAACCTTCCTTTTGTGGTTTTAACCTTATGGTTAAATTTCATAAAGATCCATTCACGACTACGACGACCACAACGACCTCAACATCATACCAATATACGGTCGTATAAAAATACAACATACGATGGATTTTTTTTTATTCAAGTTCACTCTTATGAACATACAAAGTTGAGTATATACCCTCCAAGAAACCAATCACTAGACACTAAACTGTTTTTTTTAAATTTTATGCGTAAAATTTATTCAGAAATGGCTTCCATGCTTTACTGTATACCAGGAACTATGTTTGTTTTTTGTGATTTAATAAAAAACATCTTAACAAATTCTGGTTAAATTCTAGTTATGTCTGAAAATATTTTGAAAGTGGAGTCGAATCATCTCTATACAAAACATTTAAGAATAAAATGCTCCGCTGAGCACAGCTTGATACGACCGCAGAGGTCGAACCCTGAACAGTTGGGGCAAGTATGGACACAACATTCAAGCTTGATACAGCACTGAATTTGGATTGTGATTAAATATTTGACACATCACAGGTTTCTAACACAGAATGAATGTGGTGTAAGAACTTAAAATTTTTTAATTTACCTATTCAAACCATATCATTAATATTTGCTTTTATATATAAATCAGAAATAACCAATTTAAAATAGAATTTTAAAGAAAAAAAAAAGGAAAAAAAGGGAAAAAAAATCCCTCCCCCAAATTTTTTGAACCCCCTTATGATTCATCACCCCCAAACTCAATCCCAGCCTTCCCTTTGTGGTATGGTACCTTGCAGTTCTATTTCAGAGAGATCCATACACTTGAACACAAGTTATTGTATGGAAACTAGAAAAATGCTTGTTTTTAGGCCCCTTTTTGGCCCCAAATTCCTAAACGTTTAGGGCAATTACCCCCAAACTCAAACCCAGCTTTCCCTTTGAGATATGGAACCTTGTAGTACATTTTCATAAAGATCCATACACTAACACAGAAGTTATTGTCCTGAAACTAGAAAAATGCTTGTTTTTTGCCCCTTTTTGGACCCTAATTCCTAATATTTTGAGGCAATTACCCCCAAAATCAATCCCAGCCTTCCTTGTGTGGTATGGTACCTTTCAGTACAATTTCAGAGAGATCCATACACTTGAACACAAGTTATTGTCTGGAAACTAGAAAAATGCTTATTTTTTGCCCCTAATTCCTAAACGTTTTGGGCAATTACCCCCAAACTCAATTCCAGCTTTCCCTTTGTGATATGGAACCTTGTAGTACAATTTCAGAAAGATCCATACAATTACACACAAGTTATTGTCATGAAACTAGAAAAATGCTGGTTATTTTGCCCCTTTTGTGGCCCCTAATTCCTACAATTTTGAGGCAATTACCCCAAAATCAATCCCAGCATTCCCTTTGTGATATGGAACCTTGTGGTACAATGTCAGAGAGATCTATACACTAACACACAAGTTATGTCTGGAAGTTACAAAAATGCTTATTTTTGGCCCCTTATCCCTTAACTGTTGGTACCATAACCCCCAAAATCAATCCCAACCTTCCTTTTGTGGAATGAACCTTATGGTAAAATTTCATAGAGATCCATTCACTTAAACTAAAGTTAGAGTGTGAAAACCAATGTGTCTTCGGACGACGACGACGACGACGACGACAATGCCTATGTCAACGTCATACCAATATACGACCGCAAAATTTTTTTGCGGTCCTATAAAAATCAAGAGAACTCTGGTTGCTTTTTAAATTATTAAATGCTTTTAAAAATCTTAAAAATAGCAATGAGTAAATATATTTTTTTTAACAAATGTCTTTCCAGCTATAACCTTGTTATTTTGAAACTCACCAGTGAACTTCCTCAAAAGGTTTGGAAGAACGATCGTGAATACAAACACAAAAAATGCTATGGAATTTTGCAAAAAATCAGAAAGACATCATTCAAAAACATATTTATTAGAAGTTAGCAACAGAGTACTTGATAACAGATGACCTATGAAAAACAAATGTATAAATAATGAGAAAATAATGAAAAATAATGATACATGTAATTACAAGTTCAAAAAACTAATTAATTATTTTATGTTTGAGAACACTTCCTTCATTACCTGTATTATTTAATTATACTAAAACTTAGAATTTTTATAAATGTATACCAAAATGAAATTTTAGCAAAGATATCATCTGATATTTAATTTTAATTTCTTTGCAAATAAATCAAATGAAAACTTAGTATATTTCCTTTATCTCAAACCACAAGCCTTAATAACTGCTAATTATTTTAATTGGCTATGAGGGTTTCCTTATAGTACAAAGATAAAATGATAGGCTCATCAAAGGAGGATCTAGGAAATGAAATAGCCCTGTTGTTAATTAAAAGAACAGAATTTAGATAGCCAAGTAATAGAAATTTAAATAAATGACCTGACACGTCTAAAAACGTGTAATGAAAACCTATGCCTTGCATTTGTCAGTTTTAAGAAGAATATAATAAATTTTTTTTTTTGCAAAAAAATGCAATGCAATGGTCACATTTCACTTGACCTCAGACCAGACCAGCTAAAAACTACTTTTTAATCAAGTCATCTGATTTAAATTAAACTCAGGGAAAGATTTGTTTAATTTGTGCATACATGTAGGCCATTGTAGGGATTGTTCATGTTTCTATATTTCTTTTGTTACATTTTTCATTTTTTATTTATTGGTACTTTACTGTGATGGCTTTTGTTTTTTGTTGTGAGTTGCTTTTATCTAACCTACTGTTAGGCCAAAAATAAAATTCAAATTGTTTGATGTTGCCTACCTACCCATCTAAAAGGCAGCCTACCCGAAAAAAACCCAATTCCTGTTCTAACGTTGTTTTTTCTTCTTAAACATGTATCTTATGTTGTTGGCCAACATTTTTTTTTAAATCCCTTCCTACCTACCCAACCCTACAAGGCATTGGAAGGCAACATCAAACAAAGAATTTTTTAAGGGTGGCCTTAGCAAGAGTTTACATACATCAGCTTCGAAAGTGTGGAAATATTCTCTAGGTGCTTTGTACTTGAACTGATTGTAAATTTCTTGCTCCCATATAACTGCATCTTTCTGTAAAAGAAAAACAAATACAAATGAATATCAATACTAACATTTATCTACGTCATGTAAGGTTTTAAGGTCCACACAGAAAATGTTGTCAATTGCCAAAAAGTACCTTCACTGAAATAAAACTGTTGCTGATAATGACAAAAACATTGGTTGAATGTGGATGTCAATTGGAAATTTCACTGTATATATCTTAATAATCTTATTATTTCTCAAAAAATTCAATTCACTTGCATTAGATATATATATATATATATATGAGAAAAGGTAAAAACATGCTTCTTTGTGATCTTAGAAATGAAGTTTTTTTCTTAAAAGATATCTCTTTCATTGTTCCATTTTACACAGTATATTTAATTAATTTACAATTTATTTTTCAAACTGGGTATGCAGTACAAAACACACTTTTATTAAGACAATAAAAAAAAAAAAACACAAAATAATAAAACCAAACAACAACAAGAAAAGCGTGTTATCTTTTATTTGCTACTGATGGAAACTATAATGAAATATTTTAAGAAACAGCTTAATCTGAGTAATAATAAACTTAAAACAATGATTTTGAAAGTAACAAATTTTTTGCTTTATTTTCCTAGAACTTTTATTTTTATTTAAAAATTAAGTAGAGACTTTTTATGTAAACATGTGTCTCTTCTTTATCAAATTTTCAATAAATTTTCAAAATTGCATTTTAATCATTTTAAAAACCAACTTGTTTGATATTCTATTCCTTTCTGCTAGATAGTATTTTGAAGATGCAGTTATGTTTGTGAAATTTAAAACAACATATATATCCATACTTTGTCATCTATCCCTAGTATTCCCTACTATTGGTTCAAGTGGTCCAATAGTTGCTTATTACTGAACTGGAACCAGTTTTGCCCTAAATGATCTAGCTCAAACTCAGTTCATTTTGAAACAAAATTCACAGAATGGATTGATAGGACTAATTCCAGTACATGATTAACAAGTTTATTGACCAAAACTAAGATTTACCTCTTGATCAACTTTGACCCTAACTAGACTCAATTATATACTTTAAGCTAGCTTTCAAAAAGTTCAAGCAATCTTTGATGTTGTTAATCATTATTTTACTTTAGTTTTTGTTCACTATATTTACAACTTGTCTATAGCAAGACTATGGATGATTTGGAGCTTGTAAAATGGTATCCATTGCTGAAGGTCATATTATCAGTCTAATTGTTTTGATAAGGATGACTCCATTGTTGGGATGCTGTCTCAATGATGTATATTTAAAATTTCTATTTATCTATATTAATGTCACAATTAGCATTTGAATGACTTAAATCACTTGTATGCACATTTTTAAAATTAAAGATTGCTCCAATATCTGACAGTCTTTTTTGAATGGATAAGACACAAAAGTAAAATGTCAGGCATTTGAAAAGGTTAAACTAAACAACTCTAAAAAGTTTTGCCATTTCTGCAAGTTTGCTTATACATATATTTGATGTTATCAAGTAATAATGAAATAGTTGCCAAATAAAAATGCTAACTGTTAACATCAATTAGCAAGTTCAGAAGTCATCCAGGTAATATATCATAGGTGAACAGGTGGACAATGATTAAATTAGAAACTGTAGGAGCATTTTATCATGATATTAATTTATTCACATTTATCGGATTTATCATTCTCAAACAATACTGGGTAAAGCTGCCATTCATGCAGGTGTATCTTTTTTTGCCAACTTGAACACTAAAAATTGTCAAAAACTATTCAGATCCTAAAGACCAGTTCTGAAATGATCAAAACAGCATAATTTTGTAATGTTGTAAGAAAATCGCTCAAAGAATACTAGAGAAAGTGTGTGACATGTGAAAATCGTTTATTTTTGGAAGCTGTAAGTTCCGTAACTCTAGAAAAAAACAACCAAAAAGAAAATTGTCAAAAACTAAATAGACCCTTGATCACATATCTTAATAATTTGGTAGTTTGAAGTAAATATGTTAAGGCATACATGACTAAAAGCACTACATGTTTACAACAGATGTACAAACAACCGCATACCATAATATGGCCATCATTCTAGGCAGATTTTTGACAATTATTGTGTTTGAACCTAAACCTAAAGCTTTCTACCTTGCAAACTGTGAGTGAAATTGAGTGGACAATGTTCCCCTTTAGCAGACGTGCACGGGTAAAACAATATATGCTCTAACTTTTCATGGCACAGGCATAATCATCTTTTTCAATATTTATCAATGTACATTTCCTCCATGCAATTCCGTACTGGAATGACCACATTCTATACAGGAATAAAACATATACATCTACTACACTTCATTTATCAAAAATGATTCCTATAAATATATGTTACATGAACATATAATATTCAGTAAAAATATGTGGACTCTTTCAATGCATGAATGCAAATAAATGTTGAACAACACTGTCAACTTACCCTATCATAGCTTCCTCCTAGCTAAATAGAAATAATCAGTGTTTATTCTTCACTGCATTTACTTGACAGGAAAGGGTACCAGAAAAATAACTTTAAATCCAAATTGTTAAGACAGGAATGTCTTACCATAGATGTATACATCTATGGTCTTACTATTGAAGCTTGTGTTCAAACAGTGATGGAGTCCATAAATGTAACTTTGCTCATGATTTAAGTCAACAAGTATGTAAAGAAAAAGGTAGATTTTATCAATTTGTTCTTACTTGATCCATGATACAGTAATAAATTAATTTGCTTTTGAATATTAAGAGGCAACTGTATTAATCTATGTATCATTTTATGTGGATATCTACATGCATCTCACAAGTTCAAATGATCTGTTTTACATTCTTTTGAAATACATTTTTCTCCTAGTATATGATATCAAGATGTACAAAATTGCACATGTAGGCTGCAGAATTCCATGGAAAAAGCTTGGTTGTTTTTCTTCTTTCCCTATTCCAAATTTTATCTAAATAACTAACATATTACCAGCATAATAGCTAATATCCACTATAAACCAAGAATTAACTGAATTAACTAGTTTGGGAAATTTCACTTTTTGTCATTGCATTTAACTTTACCAAACAAGACTCTTGCTGTTTAGGGGGATACTTTTGAAAATTGGCCATAACCTTAAAATACACTAAATCCACCAGGGCTAGGTTCCCTGCTAAAATTAGAGACAATAATGCACGTAAACATTGCAAAAGGAAGATATTTTCAGACAAGGCTTTTGAAACATATTATTTTTTTACCCCCATAACTTACAAATTCATGTTTAATTTGCATTTTCCTGGAAACAAATAAAACAAAAGCATACAATTTATAAATGTACACAAATATATCATCCATCAACATTTTGATCCGTATTTCCTTTTAACCTTTACATATTTTATTCAAATGGCCAATGACCAAACAGAAAATTCCCTTCTATGTTTTCCTGTCCAACTGAAACCACCTGTCCTTTATTTACAAAAGAAGTGGTAAATTGATTAATTTGTGGTTTTCGTTTTATATCTTCTTACTTCCTTTGTTATCATGCTACAATCATGTGATAAACAAATCGTATTTGCACACTGATTACAATATAGTATGATGTAAATACAGGTAAAATGTTTTATGATCGATTTGTCCCTTTCAGACATACCTAATGCATCCTACGAAATTCTTTTGAATAATCGTGTGATCAAATCTATAAATAACACTCATTAATTATTGATAATATCGCACCATTTTTCAGGTGACTTTGAAGTTTTTTTTGTTTATATATCTATAGCCATAAGCCATTTTTACATGTCATATTGGTATGCTATTATGCATAATTAAGATATGAAAAATTAGTCCTACAAGCAAATTGTTATGTAGATTTTCATTTTGTGAAGAAAAAATTGTGTTTAACCAGATTTTAATATCAATTCAACATGTACATGCATGACATGTGGTGCAAATTAAATGTTAAGCTGATGGCAATTTTTCTATTTTGCAGTTTTCAATTTGAGTACACAAAAGGGTAAAACTTCTGAGTTTTTTTACACGTACATGTAATTTGAATTTTTCTTATTAAAGAGCTATCTATACTTTATATCAATATTTAAAAAAATAGATCCCTAAACTTACTGATAATATTTTACTGCAAACTGATGCAGATAAAGAGCATTCAGTTCTAATGAAAACGGGAATAACTTACTTTTTTCATTATAAACATATACATATCATAATGAAATATATAAATATTCACCTTGTTTGGTTGTACCAAAAAAAATTAGAAAATTCTAAGGGATTTTAGATCAGTGTATGTATTGACTTTGAAAATATGATTAAACTTGAGGCTTCACTACTGCTACACTAAGTTTTTAATAAATATATGCTTGACAGAAGGTAGCTACATGTAGGTAGTAGAAATTCCACTTCATAATGAATAGATTTTGTAATTGTGGTTTTTAAACATTATATAATCAAAGCATTTCAAAAACATAGCACTCAATCGAGAAGTTTTTACTGGGGACAAGAGATTGCCTACATGTGCTATGGAGTTGTACATTTAAGGAATGACTGTAATATTTTTTCTGTCTATGAAGAAATAACATAAAAAATGTGGTGCACACTGAATAACCCGTGTAGCGGGTTATTCATAAGTGTGCACCACATTTTTTATGTTATTTCGAATAGACAGAAAAAATATTAAAGTCATTTCTTATAATTTAATTCTAAAAAGGAGTAAATCATGATAAAAACGTTGATGACGTCGCGGTCACATGACAAAATTATGTCTATGAGCTGATAGACAAAACACTTTCAGCCAATCGGAAGACGTGTTACATCCAAAATTAAATTATAAGACTATAACCAAAAAAGTTCTAAATTATGTTATGGCTGAAACATCATGATAATGGTTTAAAAAACACAATTAAGAAAAATTAGCTAGGTTAAAAGGTGAAATAGATAAAGGCAGTTTAATACATTATCACCCTTTGAGGCAACATTTTGCAGTAATAAATACTAAAAAACAAATAAATCCTCAGGTATTACATAACAACAATGTACCTTGATGTCATACAATCTTATGTAGTACGATCTCTTTGGATTGTCTTTTACAAAACAAACAACACCGCAAAATCTTTTACTCCACCTTTGTCGAGATGGTGGGTCAGCTGTATAGAGTTGACATACACCAGAGGCAAGTGTCTGAAATATAGAAAATTGACATTTGTTATCATTGCAGTCTTCACGCTGAACCACAGGCCCAGCAGCCCAGACTTGTAAAATTGCTCTTGGGCCTGTGAAAATCTCTTCAGGCCAACAGAATTTAACTAAAATTTTACAAAAATTGAGTACCAGGCCTGTAGATTTAAAAGTTCATTGTGAAGACTGTCATTGGCACCAACATAAGAATATTGCCTACTTGCACTAATTCAACCTACTCAGAAAAACCCTGCAGAAATTCTTTTTGGGTTAAAACCACAATCTTTTTTTTATTTCTATATTTTGATGGTTCCTTACCAGATATACATGTACATGCAAGTTTTACAGAGGAAAATTACTTCTGCCACATTTCTATAAAAGTATCCTGTCTTCACAACTAGGCACAAGTCTCATGTCCAGGCCAGTAAAATTGTCTTCTGGACAGTATTTTTTTTCTCCCAGAAAAGAGACCTCACCAGCCATATCAATTTAAAGACAAACGGATTTTTGGGCTCATGAGTCATAAAGTATTCAATTTTTTGTATGGACCACATTTCCTACAAAACTTAGATTTCGAGCCGTGTACAAATATACCATTTATTATGGAATCACATTCCTGAAAACTACCATCTGAGGTCTTTCTTTAGACATTGTTTATTCATTCCTTACAAATTAATTTTTGAAAGTCTAAGTGTTTTAAGTCAATTGGAATGGACACCTTGATAATTATATATTCCTTTTAAATTATTATTACTCTCAAGTCTGTTCATTTTGTTAACAGAATGTTAAATGAACAGACTTCCAGGATTAACCAAATTGCCACCCAGCATAGTAAGAAAGAATTATCTAATTTCACATGGCCATGATCAAGTAACAGTCCTTGAAATTAGCACGGGACTGACAGGACATGTCCTGTAAAAATATATTCAGTCCTGTCGATTTTTGTTAATTTTGTAATACATTGCTAAGAAAAATTTGAAGAATCATCAATTCGGTCCTGTAAATGCCAAACCCCAATTTCTATAACTGGATCAATAGGTTTTAATTGACAGCATCAAATTATTTACATCGGTGTGCTACCTTTGCACGAATTTGACCTATGTTTGAGCAAAAAAAATGCCATGTTTGCATTTACACGAATAATTCAGTCCCTTTCCCGTAATTGATCTCTCCTACTCACAAAGGCCTGAATTCCTACTACAATAAAAACTCTTCACGAATCCTGGATCTTGATTGGTGTACTGTGGGAGAGGTGACCAATCTGCAGTCAGCTCAGTTTTAACAAGATAGGTGAATCCAGAGAATTCTGACTGATATATTGACAATTTTTCATTGTCTGTGCATTCAGGCGTTAATGTAAAACATAGGAGAGCACCGGAATATAACGACTGAAATATTCTGGTTACGTTTTGAGGGATATTTACCTGTCAAAAATGTGACTAAGTTTTGCACAGATTTATCAAATTTTCTACTAAAAATTGTATAAAAGTTATGATTTCTGAAATAAAACAAAATAGATTAAAATTATACAAAAGATAATCAAATTTGACAACTACTAACAGTAACTTGGTAAAACTTTCTTCACCTACAGGTCTTAATTCCAAAAAAAACAATATAGACAGCTGTTCCAAATAAATGCACAAAGGTTGTATGTAGTGCTTTTTAATGTTTATATAAAAAATCAAAACTGTCTCTGATCATATATTTATCTATTTTTCAGCAAAACTTCAAAAAGTTGGAGTTATACATTAACTACACTGTATCTAACATTGTTCATTTACTGAGCACAGCTGCTGTGTTTTTTCCATTGAGCACAGCAGAGGTAGAAAGGGTCTTTTCCCAGGTACAACTTGTAAATTGTGTCCATAGATACAGAATAATACAGGACACCTTGCAAAACATACTGCATATAAAGCTAAATTGTGACAAGCAATGCTTTAAAAACTTGTGTGACAAGGTGCTTCATAAGTTTTTCAGCGTTAAAAGTAGATAGATAAAGTTCTATCTTGGTTAATCATTTACATCATTACATGTAGTTATGTAATTTGTATTCATGTGGAACTTGTATATATATATATAACCAGTGTTTCAATGAATAAAGACAATGTTTGATTACAGATTAATATCTTTATTATAACATGCCCTTTCCATATTATCATTTCACGTGATAAATGCCTTTTCAGGATTGGCGCCATGCTCTTTTGAAATCCTAGCTGGAACACTAACTATAATTCCATGCACATGTATCTTGCTTAAACATAGCTTAACCCTTTCACTGCCAGACCTATTCAATACTTTGCCAGGGCAGATTTTGGGTATTCAAAAAACAACTGTACCGCTTACGACGTCAACAATGAGAAAACGTCACGGAGAGGGGCACAGATAGAGGTGTGCACAGAACAACGTGTTTTGGGGGGTTTTTACGTTTTGATCTGAAGTGCAACCGAATAAATGCGAGTCATACGTATTTGAGGGTTTCCGTAGTACATTTATAACTTTAATATTGTTTAAACTTTTCAAATTTTACTTAATAAAAGTATATCAGTTAAACTTGAATAATGAAAATCGAATATTTATTGTGTATGTCTCATTGAAATTTAACCCATTTTAAGATGAATAAGTTGATTTGCATACATGTATATACTAAATATTTGTATAAGTACATTGATTTTGAACATGTATATGATATATCATACCAAATAAATATCTTTGATTAGTATTGGGAATTCCAAAATGACATGAACATTTTTTATTTAGTTGTTTTTGGCTTTGAACTAGTAACGGCATGTCCATTCAGATCGAACAAGTATTTTATGTAAATCTGCAATCTCTTAAAAGTTCGGTAGAATTTAAACAATTGGACATCGGATTCACAGTATGAACTTTTTGAAAGTTAGATTGAACTGGCAGAAATTGAAGTAAATTACTTCGGAAACACGATATGTACCACATTTACTTAAACCATGGGAGAATAATTCTGTTGAACATAGACATGATAGAAAATACAGTAAACATGAATCAGCCTGATAAAACAGTTTGATGGACCCTGATTGTGGATTTTCAAGATTTCTCTTCTTCTGCCAATAAATTACTTGCCAAATATTTGAAAAGCCATTTTAAAATTCTTTGCTTAAAAAATGCAGGTATCAATGTGTTTGCAGGGTGTTAATTTTGAAGATTTTAAATTTAAGGTAGATCGGGTTTCTTCTGCCAGTTTTGATTGTAAAATACTAGAAAACAATCGGTCTAAATCTTTAATGAAATATGAGAGAAATGCAATTGATTTGTAAGACTTTTCATTTAAATGTAGATAATTATGTGTAGTGTTGTTCCGATGATTGGAATAAGTCTGAAATCAGTTGGTTGGGCCTGGCGATGTCGAAAATCGAATGGTATTTTGTTCAATCGATTGTCGTTATAGTTTCCAGACTTTTAGCATATCAACTTCCAGTCCGTTTCCAGTTTGCATTTTACGTGCGCAGTCAAACAATTTTGTATCGAAAAATATCAGTGGATGATAATAACAATGTCAAACATCCTATAATCAAAGACATAACTAATTTCTTTCTTTATAAACATGATAATAAGCATTGACATATAAAACTCTGCAATGCAGGGTTGGCAAAAACCTGTGTTTTATGAGTATTGCCCAGCCCAGTGTAATACCCGGGTAATACTTTGCCAACTCTGCTGCAATGATATGGAATATACGCATTAGACATGTACAATTGGACTAAATGCATGATTTCATTTTAAAAAAGGGCAAGGTATAATAATGATGCGCTTATGACTGATAGTCGGCTGCTTGCTGTCAACTGGTAGTAATAGATAGTCGGTTGGTAATTTCAACCTATTAGCCAACACTAATTATGTGTTTTATAGTATTATTATAATTATGATAGTTTTTTAAAACAGTTTGCGAAATCTGCAGCTTGTAAAAAATCTGTGACCCCACTTTTTATTGTAGTTTTGAAAAACAACAAGAGTCTACATTTAGTCAAAGTATGAACAAATTCTTTTGTTTTTTTTATTTAAACCCCTCATTTACTTTAACTTAGGTGACAGATTTTTTACATAAATATTTACATGAATTAATTTAAAAGACTATATATCTTTGTTGTCCTGTTTGTTTTGTTGACATTTTCTTGAGACGGTCATTATTTTACGATGCTGTCTACAGTTATGACATATTTTAGCATTACGTCAAAGTCAGATGACGACAGCAATCGCAAGTCTGTCCCATGTGATAAACTTGCATTTAAAGCCTGTGTCAAGCCTCAATGTATTGTCCCTATCCAACATAACGTGTATTATTACAGAACTGACAGTATAGCCCATAGGCAACTGTTGCCAAGCCTAAAAAATACCCATTCACATTTGAAAGAATTACAGAAAGCCTAAATAATTTTTGTGTGTATTCTTACAACAGTTTTATTCTTTCAAACCTATGGTTTCTGAAATGGATATCAAGAGCTTCACCTGTAATCCACAGATTGTACTTTTTGAGAACAAAATATTCGCTTAGAATTCATTTGAGTTGTCTCCCTTTTAACTTTTTAACATGGTCAAAATTTTTTGGAAGCTAAGGTGTCATCTGTTAACAGTTAAACAACGAAAAACCAAGTAAATTCCACCCATGTTCGGACAAATGAAACTGTTTTTAGCTAGTATGATTTTACATTAACTGCAAGAAGGTGATCATAAATTGTTACATATTATAACGGTTAGAATGTTAGAATCAAAGGGAGTATTCCTGTAATTCAATGTGTGCGTAAATAAGATTCTTACCACACAACCTCTACCGAGGATGTTGAAAAGTGCTTCGTTTTCATTGTCATTTAACAAAATAGATGAAACATTCGTGCTTTTTTTCTTCATAGACATTTTGCTAATTTCTTTGAAACTTCCGGGTTATGAGTAACTGAAATATATAGCCTCTATACAAAACAATTTTATCAAAGTCGTGGGTAAATTTGAATTATAGCGAAAATAAGAATATAAAATATTTTATTTTTTATTGAATTATGAAAAAATGTAATAATTTGTATTAATTTATAACTTATTTTTCAGAATTAAAAAGCGCGGGATTTCCATTCGGAACCATTATAATTTCCGAATGGCACAGACACACGACAACAAACAGACTGTGAAACTCCGCCCCGTATTTTTAAGTGGTAAGCTAGTTCATTACTGATTAGACCTCTAAATATACCACAACCCGAACAAAACGAAAGCAGTGATCAGTATCCACGCTTGCCTGGTTGACAGTATACATATTTTCTTTGGAGTATCAACAACTGACAGTGCCAACTTTCAATCTGCTGATTTGTCAGTGTTATAACAATACCAAATTTAATTTTTAATGTGGAATATTTTACTGTATAATAACTATTTCATCGATAACTTATTGCATTATTTTATGAGACAATTAAGTGCTCTTGATCCATAAGCAGGCTTATGTGCAGTGTGTTAGGCCTGAACCCATGGATGCCAATGTGTGATACAGCAATGCCTGCTAAAATGTCAGATGAAGAAATGATGGGTCCAGAGGAGATACTGGATTGTCCAGTTGGTCCTGGATTTAAACCAGTCCTTCATTCACATAGACATAATCTAAGGAATAGATTTGAATTGGGGAAAACCTTGGGTGAAGGAATGTATGGTAAAGTCAAACTTGCTGTTGAAAAGGCCACAGGGGAAAAGGTATTTTAAATATTCATATTTCATGTATTTATATTTTCAATATATATTTATTTATGTTTTTTTCTTGAAACCTAACAGTATCTTTAATTTAACTAGTCTTAGTAGTCACTGTACTCTCTTCAACCCAAACGATACAGTGCACTACATGTTTGATAGGCTCCAGGATAACAAAATGCATTTTGAAATATGTTATATTTACATCTGTAGGCTCTGATTTTCCAATCTTTTCCTTTTTCCTTTATTGCCCGAAATTGTTTTCTTAAAAACTACATATCTACCAGCAACAACAAAAAATCATTTCATGTTAATTATCTATATCCTATGTTGTATTGCAGACATTTAGTCTGATTATTTAACTGAAGTTTTACAACCAATTACAACAGTTGAAAAGAAATCAATTAATTTTTAGGTTACATGTAGACAACAATGTAGATTTCCTTTTATTTAAAAAGTACATGTGAAATAATTGGCAATAACTTCAATCATTTAGTATTGTTAATATGTCAATGTTTGTGATGGGTAGTTTGAAAAAAGTCCTATCAAATTATGATTTATTTAATAAGGTGTGATATAGACATACATGTACATGTAAATCTTTTAATAAACTAAAAAGCTTAAATTTGAGGTACCAAACATAAATGGTGCTACATGTACATGTATATGAAAGGAGTTTTATATTTGTGTCACAAAATGATGAATTTAGCAATTCATCTGTAGGCACCATTGGATTTGTTTTTGTCATGTTAATGAGCAGTGCCATCTGTCTGGTTGTGTCTGACAGCTGATTTTGTGTTAAGATAATTTTTTCTATTTTCCCATATTGTGACACCATACATATTCCTTTCTGAATAAGGATTTAACTATACATCAAAAAGTAGAAAAGAAAAAAAAAGTACATTTTGTACTTTGTGAAGCATACAAGTCTTTATATTTATTACATAATTTTGTCTAACAGTGTAATAAAGGGATTACTCGGTACAATTATCATTCAAATAACAGAAGCTTTGTCACATAAATATAAAAAAAGAGATCATCCCTGTCATATACCTGTGAAATGTTTTCATATGATTGATTTTATATTCTTGTCTGGAAGGTATAAAAACTATTTTTATCAACTTGTTAAGAATGTTTTTGAACTTAAAATCTTTTGTATTTGAAATAAAAAAACCTTCTTTTACATGGTATGTGCACAAATGCATTGATTTGTCTTTTACTCATCCATAAACCGAGGTTGTATAAACTTGTATAACAGGGTATTTTCCTCTTTGATTAAAGATTGTAGAATTGTATTTTTAAAAGGGTCTATTTTTTAATTTCAATCAACTGGTTCAAGTTTAGACTAATTGACAAGAGACATAATTTACAATGGTATGATATGATTTACAATATTATGTATGATACAAAATTAATATCTGACGTCAGGCTTTTATTTCTAAAACAAAAGGTCTCTTTGAAAATTACTTAAGGTGCATTTAATCTTTTCTTTCCAATCAAACACATGAAAGACCTAATTACAAGTTATCTAACATACATAAGTAAAATAATATAGGGTAAAATAATTATTTGAAAGTGCACTTCCCTGCCTCTAGTGACAACAAAGTTGTATTTTGTCTTTGCTACGGGTATATAATGACTCAGTAATGGATAGATTTTCTGATACCAGAAACAAGTTATTCAATACCTTTTTTCTTTGTTTATTTTCTTATCGATATTATTTTGCTTTTTAAACGAACAATATATGTATTTATCTTTTCATATTTCCATATGTCTATTGTTTTCTCCTAGATACATTTTTTGTATTTGTTACATTGATTTTTCCAGGGTTCATCTCAAGGAAAAATTAAAACAAAATGTAAATCCTATTTTACTTAAAAGAGATTTTTATCTTAAAAACTTAGTCATTTTATAAATGATATCTATAATACTGTGACCAATGATATCACATACTATTTTGTTTAAATAAGGGATAATGATTCAAATGGATTTTTAACATACCAAAGTTAGATAATCAAATATTAAATCCCCACAAGGGGTCGACAATCTGAGAGAGAAGTCATAACTAATCTTCCATTGTTTGTTTCTTAGGTGTAAAACTCTCAAAATGACCCTTTGACCCTTCAATATAAGCAAACAAGTTAGTAGGACCAGAGGTCATATGAAATGTTTCTTATCCCTAATTATATCATCAGTCCATTATTGAAGTTTCTACTCAATTGACTTATTCTTATTTGCCTCCGTAGGAGGTAGTGGACTCTGAACATAAATTTGATCAAAATGCTGATTTGGCTAATTTACTAAGATATAGTCTGATACACATTTAATCTTAATTGGTAACTGATTGGTTCTTTCAAGTGCTAGTGATACTGAAAAGTTTCTCCCAAATCAAAACAGTGATAAGAAGATTATTTCAAGGATACCCTGAATTCAGGAAAATGGACCATAGTCACCCCATTACCATAAATTGTTAGTTAAGTCTTCATGGTAAACATTTATCCTAGATCTACATTTGCACAGATCCTTAGCTTGCAAAAAATTCCTATATGACCCATTTCATCTGAAAATCAATAGAAAAAAAGTTAATTAAAACAATCGTGTTCATTGAAAATTTATTTAATATTCTGGATAGTGTTATCAATATCTTTCAAGAGTGAAGAAATTTCTATCATATTTTAGATACCGAACAGGGTAGTGTGACTGTGGTCAGTTCTAAATCATTACCCTATTATTATCACTTTAACACAAACATCAATTTATTTTATACCCCAATACACAATACAATACACTCTCTATTTAACAGAAATTGACCAACTGGTAGTTATTTATTACCAAAAAGAATTTCAGGTATTTAATACTACTAACAATGACCCTGCAAAAAAAGGTTTGATGACAAGTGTTTGATGTAGATTGAAAAAAAGTCATGAATGAATAAGAAATTTCTCAGTTTCATGTTAATTTGTAAAAGTTACTTTGCCATTTTTTTTGATTTTTTATAAATAGAATATGCAAAAAGATATGATTAGTAGGGTTATATCAACTGGTCATTTCTGATGTTACAGTTAACCAGGAAATAGAAGATACAAAGAAATATATCTCTCTTTGATGTAAGATACATATTATATTGCAAGGAAATGGGACTTAAGGACAAACTTTATGTTTTATTATCACTTCCCATTTGTATATCTCTTTGAACTTGTGGGAAACAATAGGTCACAATCTGTCAACTTGTACATTTCATGATTGACTCCCACAACTAAACAAAACTATCATGACTATGTCTCGTAAAGGTATTGTCATGGGGAAGTTTTCATAGAGACAATACATTATATCTTATTATTATTTGTGGTCAATAGTTGTTACATATTGTCTTCCTGCTATAATTGACTCATCATTAGGCCATTCTCATATTTTAGTTTCTTTTATTTCCCTACAATGATCAGTACAATTGTAACATATATTATTTAATTACATGTGCATGTATTCATTGATAGTGCACAATGATAAAACCATACCTACACTTGTGGGAAATTAAAGCTAGGGAAGAATTTATGGTAGTTGTATTATGTGCACAAAAGATTTTTTTTTATTTCTGATTAATTCTGTAAGAATGTTATTCCCATGCCACCAATATTGATATTTGATCTTAAGTCCAATTTGTTGTCATAATAATTAAAGTCCTTTTATTTAAACCATGACTCAATATCTATGTAATGCTTCTTTTGATTTATATCCTCAATTTTCTGTTAGGATTTAATTTAAAAACACACTTTAGTGATTAGTGGATCTTTTTTATAACCACAAATATTTTGCAGGCGTAAAAATCATTGATTGTTTCCTTAATCTCTTTGATAAAATCAGAATCAGAGATGTGTAAATCCTTAAGAATGATACCAAATCATTTTATCTTGGACATTTATCTCTTAAACATATTTTGTGGTCATTTACCTGAAAATTATGACAAATGTATACATGTCTACATACATTGTAATATATTGTCATTTAGTCACCATTTTTGAAATTTTAATACTACTAATTTATCATTAAAAATATCAAATAGTATGAAATTTACAAAGATAAATGCATAAAAGAGGATTTTTGTTTATATATTTATTTCTTTTATATAAGTAGTCCAGAAAATGAAATAATTTGTTCAAGGTCAAAGATAAGTGGGGTTTTTTATGCAAAGGTGTTTTAATAAAGGTTTAATTGATGACAATTAGAGACTTCCTTTCACCTTGGTTAAGTACAATTACAATATGTTTTTAAAATTATTATAATAGAAATCACTTTATTTAATAATCAAAAGATCAAATGAATACCATAGTTCACACAGTTAGTTGTCAAAATTACTAAAAACATAAGTTCTTTTCAAATGATGTCAGTGTGCCATTAGTGGCTAAATATAAAGTCACAGATCACTTGATAAAACATTTCTATGGTTATTTAACCACAATATCCGCTACTTTTCAATTTTTCCCTTAATGTTAATTTTTGAATAGTCATTTTTTATTACGAATGTTTGACACAATATCAAAGTGACGTGATTCATAATTTTGCACGATTTGTAGACATTTGTATACATTGTACATAACATGTACATACAGATAAGTCTAAACACTGTAAATATTTAAAGTTTCATTAGATACAATGGTTTTCCAGAAGTTTCTTTTTCAGATCTGCAAAATCATTATTGTTTATAAAATGACTAGCTGAAAAGTGGAACAGGTCAAACATAAAAGAATTATTATTATAGTGTATAAAAATTTTATTATCATAGTAACGATAATTTGCTTCATCATAATCCCTCCAGCAAAGGTTATTAAGAAATATAATACATAAACAAAACATGGTCTGTCCATAGGAAGTATATGAGCTTAAACTGTGTAAGAAAAGATTATAAGAACTTAATGACATTGAATATTATAACCATATTAAGCCATAAGGGAGGAGTTGTTTTGATAAGCCTATAATTTTCATCCATTGGAACTGGGTGACTGTTCTACTAGAAGGTCATTGAGGCTATTGTAAAACTTATTCTACAACTAATACATGTTTGTACACAAATTACAATGTATAAGGTTGTCCTCATTGAAAAATTGCCATTTTTCCTGCCGAAAGTCGTGGTTCTCTCCCGGCACTCCACATTCCACCATGAAATAGTTAATAGTGGTGAAAGTGGTGTTAAAACACAATAATCAATCAATCGTTTAAGGAAAGCAAACATTCTCTTTTTTTTTCGACTTATCAAAACATAACATGTACATATCATTGTTTCTAAAATGTCATTTGGTTAACTGGTCCAAAATAAATGTTTTGAAATTAAAAGTCCAGAAACGTCAAAATACATGTAGATAGATTTCTGTTTATCAAGATATTTTTGTTAACTTTGAGTCCTGTATCACTATACCAGTATGTTCTGTTATATATTTAACTGCATAGATTACTGATCTGTTTGAACTCGAAGGTCTGAAATTGCAGTCATGTTATGCAACTGACACAGAACAGTAAAATATCTTGAACTTGGACAATTTTTAAGATTTCTTCAAATAATTTACATGCATTGCTATATTCTAGGTTGCAATAAAATACATCAAGAAAAATAAAGTACAAGATGATACAGATCTACGTCGACTACGACGAGAAATCCATGTCATGTCATCCCTCAGTCATCCTAATATCATCAACATAAGAGAAGGTATGTATCAGTTTTTTGGATCACAGAATCTGCCCATTGGTCACCCAAGCACAGGTCTAAAGAAAGAAAAACTTTTACATAATAGCCTTTAGAGCGAAATGTTGGCTTGACTTTCAATGTGAAAGAGATGGAGGTATAAATACACAGTAACCTAACAACACAATATTATCAAAACACGACATGTTTTTAATCAGCTTTGACAGAGGTTATTTCCTTTATTAACCTTCTTTGGTGGAATAAAATATGCCAAGATATTTCTGAAGTAAGATACCAAAGTAAGGTTTTTATTCAAAGAAAAATAATTGAAACCTTTTCTCAAATATGCCCTTGTGGTTTGTTTAGCAAATTGATTTATTAATATTTAGTTAGAGATGATCAATATAATATCAGATTAAAGGAAGTTGTAACAATAACTTCTGGTAAATTTTAAATATTCATTTCATCTTCAAAGGTCTATTGGGTAATACTATACATAAGTTGTCACCTCTTTGACATAGTGTGGAATGTAGCAGGGTCGTAAGATATTTCTCAACTTACTGAATAAAAATCACCTTTAACGAAAAAAATACAAAGAATTGGTATAATGAAATTTTAGACATGAAAACATTGTTAAATATCCTAATACTTTAAATTATCTTTGGAATTGACATGGCTTGAATACAGATCAAAACCTTATCTAATGATGAAAAGAATTGATTGACATATTGAAATGTTAGAGGGAGTTACCTAGGAAAATCCATAGGCTTTTTACCATTGTTTAATCTTACTACAAAGTGCAGAAACTTTATTTAGACCAAACGGAAAGTACATATGATATTTATTTCATTTAGATATCAAATTCTTGTTCATTCAAGGACAAAATTGATTCACTTCATCGGACGAATCTGAAAGAGCATTAAGCCATCAACCATTTTTCAGAGACTATAAAACCAATGAATTTTTTGATTTTATGTGCAAATATTTTAATTTTACGTTTAAAATTGAATTTTTCAATAAAAGTTTGATACTGTCTTGGTACATTGAATTATTAACCGAAATGATGAACAGATGAGGAAATTTCTCTCTGTATAAGTTATTTCAAACAGTAGCATACATATCTGTGACTTTCAGATACAAATGTAATTAAATGTTCTATGGTTAAATATTTGTGTGCCCCCACTGTAAGCGACGGGGGCATTAAGTATTACCCTTGACCATCCGTCCTTCCATCTTTTTGTCTTTCTGTTGCAAAGCTTGAGCGGTGGCATTCATGTCCTCTTACACATTTTTCTTTTTTTTTTGTTCCATATTGTTCAATCTTTATAGTTTTCTTTTCATTCTCTAGTTAATTGTCTTTTCTTTTTCTTTTGGTTTTTGGTGTTGTCTGTTCTTCTCTAGTTATTTTGAGTCAATGACTCATATTTTTATGCCTTTTTCATCTTTAAAACATGTGATTTGATAAATATTTACAAAGATGTACCAAATTTAAACAAGCTATGGGAAAAGTACTTAAAAAGTGTTCAAAACATTAAAAGGAAGGAAGTTTTGATACGTACAATGAATATTAAGTGAGAATATGGTCATTTTTAGTTATTTAGATAAAATAAAGGATGCCATTAGGAAATGAGCAATTATTGATATGTATTGCATGAGAAAATTATTAGTATTTTGTGTATTGCACAAGAGATAAAAGTAGAAAATTTGTAATATATCCTCAGGGGCATTGATAGACCAGACATGACAAAAATATGAATAATTAAGGTCAATTACTTATGAATGATGTGTATTCATTTATAGTACCAAATGTTTATGAATTGTCAGGTAATGCATCCTGCGAAAGTTATCATGGAATATGTTTCACTATTGATTAAATGATAAGCACTGTTTGATATCTGAAAATAAAATAATTTGGATGTTCAGATGAAATTGAAAACATACCCAGCATCTAGTCCTATAAATTTCTTTTAAAAGGATTTTGTATTGTTCTATGTTCTTGAAAAGCTAAAGAAGAAAGGTTGAATAAATTCCAAATCTTGTTTAACCTCAGCATCTTTGAGTGATTGTAAGTTTCCTTCAAATTTTTTGTTTGTGATGGTGTCAATTGTGTTGATATTAGTCAAAACTTGTGTACTCTTTGAGCACTAAATGTCAAACAAGCAACAATCAGTCTTCTTTTAAGAATGCCCATCTATTGTAAACTGTTATTCCTTTAGAGAAAACAATCTGTGGTGAAATCTTGAAGCCTATTTGGTTTACCCTTGCTTTCTTAGTGAAGTTTACCCCACGCACTGTTTGATTCTATAATGAACTTCTTTTCTTTGGTGTAACAGTGTTGCCAAATTTTTAGAGATCAAGATAATAAGATGTTGACATTTTGACTTGAGGACACGCACAGGTCAGTTTCTCTGAAATATTGACGTCAACTCAGCATTTCATCGTAAAAATAACGGCCTTAAATGCCAGTGTTTTGAAAATGAAATGGATATTTGTTGATATTTGTTCAAAAGTTTTAAAATGTACCTCTTGACTGGCATTTAGAAGGGACTGTTTTATACTGTTTATTTGTACATCTGAATCGTACGGATTTAACTTGGTACCAAATAAAAGGGATTACGTTTTAAATAACTTGCAAGCTCAAAATTAAGTACACTTTAAACAGTGTACTTGGCAGGTTTTTAAGAACGGATAATCAAATATTTTTGTCCTAGTGGAGTTTCTTTGTGTCAAACTATTAGGTTTGATTGTAGGGGGTAATTGATCAGCTGATTCCGCGTATCTCTGCTGATTTCTAAAGTGAATTTATTTCACTTTTCATCATGGTTTAATCTCTTTTCTTATTTGTATTTTTTAAACTGTCAACTTACTGTGCATTTGGTGGTTAAACTTGGCACAATTCCATGACATGTTTTGTTTTATTCTATGATTATCTGATACATGTCTAATGATTTGTAGATTAATGTATATGCATAGACCATGCAGTAGCATACATTTGTTTTTGAACCAGCATGACCATGTATTCACATGTCCACTATTCTGTAAATTGCAAATATAAAATATGCAATATATATCTTTTTGTCATATCACCTCCATAATCATCTAAGAAGATTGCGTTAGCTCAAAAGCTTTGTTTTAGAGTCTTATTTTGAGTACAGGTTGATATTGGGTGTAGTATGAAAAACTCAGTAAGAAATTTTTATCACATATTTTGTAAATCACTTTTTCAAATGAATTTCTTTTCATAACCTCCACAAGAAGTCCAGTGAACTTTGTCGTTCAAATTTTTATTCTGAAATGTTTGTTGGTTGCTCATGAGGAGAAGGAGATACAAAGTGTGGATAGACAGAAGGATGAACAAACAAACATTAAAAAAAATCATGATGCAATCCTTCATCCACTATTTTACTAAGTATGTGATATATTGAAAATACTTAATGCTATTTGAACTAATTATTTGCACACAATTTAATTTCACCTTGAAAATTTTTCAAAATTATCCATCAAAAAGTCAACTTTATTAAATGATTTAAATTATTTTGATCAGTTACATCATGTGCAAACAGTTGTTTTCCATCATTTTCTTACATGATATGAATATTTTAACATGCATATAGTTGATCAGGTATGACAACATATAAACTGGAGACCAGACTAATCATATTAACAGGAAACCAGACCATTTATGAATGCAGATTATCTAAAAATGATTATACTCAAATTACCCCAGATGGTAGACAAGATATAATTTTAATTTTATCATAGAAAAATATTATATCATACATCCGTATAAATAAAGGTGTATAGATACAAGTATCAGGATATTTAATCAAAGATATCCAAATATTCAGACCACGGAATTGCTTTTGATTGAAGTGCTGATTTATCTTATTTTTAAATTTTTGACTTATTTATTCACACATGATAACTGAATGTGAAAGGACAATAATATTTGTATAACCTATAGTTTATGTAAACAGAATAGTGACCATTTTCCTTAATTGTCCATTTACCTTTCCTGACGTCTGCTAGGACAGGTGGCTGTAATAATATAGCTATTCCACACCTGCTCCTGCATTCCTGTCAAATTCCACACTTTTGGTCAGTTATCAACAATCTGTTTTCTACATATAGACTGCAAATGTCAGTGGACAAAGGAAAGTGGAAAAGAAAATAAGTAAATATGGAGAAAAAATAAGCAATGAATCCAAAAAAAATGATGGTACATGTATGTGTAAATATTAGATTCATTTATGTATGGATCAGCTGTACTATCATACATGTATGTAACTACATGTACAATACATATATATATATCCCATTTTAGGCAGTTACTTTCAGCAGAGGAATTTCCAATCTAGAAATTTTATTTTATATGCATCTTACTCTTTCCTTTCCCAAAATTAAAACAGGTATAATATTACTTTTTAGATTAAAAAAGCCAATGTTGAATATATATACATTTTTGTGCCTTACAGTTTATTGGCAGAAAGGATAAGAGGTAGACAGTACACAAAACTTGAAAAAGTAAATAAAGTAAACTGCAAATGTATGTCAAGTATGCTTGGTGCACAGTTTTTGTGTCAGTATGCCACTTTTGTTTTAAAATCTGAGTCAGAATACAGTTACGTAAAAGTCTCTATTCTTTCTTGATACATCTATGAATCAGAGAGTAAATTTATAACAGATGGGCAAGTTAAAGGAAGTGATATTAATTTAATTTTCTTAGGTCAATTTATTGGATTAAATATTTATATCTGTTTCATTAAACAAAGTCAGATAGACATGTTTACTGGTTGATGTTCTTGGTGTAATAACATTTGTTTTTTATGTCAGTAGATTAAGCAATAGATGTTAGAAACTTGTTAAAGTTAAACTTTCAATCTCCCATGTCCAAAGTCTTAGTACAGCAGTAGTCAGATTAATTGCCTGGAACATGAAAACTTTTAAAATTTCTTGGGTCAACTTATTGGATTAAACATTTATGTCTGTTTCTATAAACATGATGATTATTACAGTAAAAGGAA